ATAGTTTTTTTTTTTTACCATGAAGAACCCCAATAAAACCCCACCCCCCACCCCTCCCAGTCCCTGTGGGGCAGATGAATTCTAGTTAACACTCTATCTGCTTTGATTAGATTCATTGTTTCAATAAAAGATTCACCACTATTATTTAGAGTTTACCCCCCTCCCCAAATCAGACATGCTGAAAAAGCATTGTGACGTGATTTGCTTTCTACAGCTGGGTTCAAGAATTAAATGTTGGTTTTGGATTTCTGCTATTTTACTTATTGACCCTGGAAGTATTTATACTGAAAGTCAGATGATTAAGAAATTGTTTTCTGTGGTCTGGAGTCGTGGCCGTGCTGGAGAGCCGCTAGTGGGGGGCAACTGGTGGCCTCAGTAGGGCGAGAAGGGCGGACTGAAACGTCCCCCTTCCCATGAGGTTTTAGTTGCCCCCACTCCCCCGGCTCATACCTGCTGTCCACAAGGCTCCCATGCGGACGCCATCTTTCTTTCCAGAGAGGAGAAGGCGACTGGGGCAACACCCTTTCCCCTCCGGACAGACATGATGGCCTGGATTAACGCATAGTCCTTTCACTTTTCTGCTCCAAGCTGCCGGGTTCTGCATTAAGTCCCTGTGCTTCTGGGGCTGTGGCCGTGCTGGAGAGCCGCTCGCGGGGGGCAACTGGTGACCTTGGTAGGGCGTGAAGGACGGACCGGGACGCCCCCCCTTCCCATGAGGTTTTAGTCGCCCCCACACCCCCGGCTCATACCTGCTGTCCACAAGGCTCCCATGTGGCCGCCACCTTTCTTTCCAGAGGTTGGAGGGCGGAAGGGACCAACACCCTTTCCCCTCCTGGCAGACATGATGGCCTGGATTAACGCATAGTCCTTTCACTTTTCTGCTCCAAGCTGTTGGGTTCTGCATTAAGTCCTTGTGCTTCTGGGGCTGTGGCCGTGCTGGAGAGCCGCTCGTGGGGGGCAAATGGTGACCTCGGTAAGGCGTGAAGGACGGACTGGAACGCCCCCCTTCCCAAGAGGTTTTAGTCGCCCCCATACCCCCGGCTCATACCTGCTGACCACAAGGCTCCCATGTGGCCGCCATCTTTCTTTCCAGAGAGGAGAGGGCGAATGGGGCAACACCCTTTCCCCTCCAGCAGATTTGATGGCCTGGATTAACGCATAGTCCTTTCACTTTTCTGCTCCAAGCTGCTGGGTTCTGCATTAAGTCCTTGTGCTTCTGGGGCTGTGGCCGTGCTGGAGAGCCACTCGTGGGGGGAAACTGGTGACCTCGGTAGGGCGTGAAGGACAGACCGGAACGCCCCCCTTCCCATGAGGTTTTAGTCGCCCCCGCTCCCCCCGCTCATGCCTGCTGTCCACAAGGCTCCCATGTGGCCGCCATCTTTCTTCCAGAGAGGAGAGGGCGAATGGGGCAACACCCTTTCCCCTCCAGCAGATTTGATGGCCTGGATTAACGCATAGTCCGTTTACTTTTCTGCTCCAAGCTGTTGGGTTCTGCATTAAATCCTTGTGTTTCTGGGGCTGTGGCCGTGCTGGAGAGCCGCTCGTGGGGGGCAACTGGTGGCCTCGGTAGGGTGTGAAGGACAGACCGGAACGCCCCCCATCCCATGAGGTTTTAGTCGCCCCCACTCCCCCGGCTCATACCTGCTGTCCACAAGGCTCCCATGTGGCCGCCACCTTTCTTTCCAGAGGGAGGAGGGCGGAAGGGACCAACACCCTTTCCCCTCTGGCAGACTTGATGGCCTGGGTTAACACACAGCCCGTTCACTTTTCTGCTCCAAGCTGCTGGGTTATGCATTAAGCCCTTGTGATTCTGGGGCTGTGGCCGTGCTCCAAGCTTAACTATGATTTTCAGAGAGAAACGTTAGGTGGTTTACTTACCATGGATCACTTTGTACATAGAGAGATGTCGCGCGGCCGCATAAGCGGCCGCTCGGTTTTGAGGAAAAGTCCTAGTTCCCGCATACTCGAGCTGTGCTTGTAGAGGTTTCTGGTCACCGGGGTTCCATCTGGGGGAGGCGGGATGCGGTACCTACCCCATCTCGGACTTCCCGATGATCTCGGCTCTTTTTGGAAACTGTTTATTTTTTTTTTCCTTCGGGATCTGTGGATCCCGCCCTCCATGTAGTCCTTCTCTTCGGCTGAATCTCTTCGACGTTCTTGAAGGCGTTCCATGCCGCTCTCTTCCTCTTGCGCAGCTAGCAGCTCGGGTGCCAGGTCATTTGTCATGTTGACCTCTCAACCTAGCATTCCATAATTTGTTATTTTGACCACTGCTCTGTGTTCAAGTAGGATGAGAATCTAATTATAGATATTTCTGACAGAAGTAAAGTCTATAGAAATTTAGATACTTTGCCTCATAGCTGGATTGAGTCGAAAACAGGATTTTAGGATTTTTTTGTTTAAGTAAAACCAGAACTTTGATTAGCTTCTGAATAAAGTGCAACTTCCTTAAAAAAAAAAAAGAAAAGAAAAATGAATATTACAACTTTACAACAGTAAAGTCTCTCTTTTTTTTTTTTTTTTTTTTTTTTGCTTTTTGGGTCACACCTGGCGATGCTCAGGGGTTACTCCTGGCTCATACACTCAGGAATCACTCCTGGCCGTGCTCGGGGGACCATATGGGATGCTGGGAATCGAACCTGTGTTGGCCATGTTGGCTGCGTGCAAGGCAAACGCCTTACCCACTGTGCTATCGCTCCAGCCCCAACAACAGTAAAGTCTCATGTCCATAATCATGAAAGATTTTTTTTCAGATATTTACAAAATACCTTCTCTACTTCTTCAAATATTGGTTGCAAAAATTGGGTAAGGATAATGGGAATGTGGTTTACATAACTAACTTACTAGTATATAGTGTATCCTATGAGGAACCAGAGAGATAGTACGGCAGGTAGGGCACTTGCCCGCAACCCTCCCAGTTCAATCCCTGACTACTTCATATGGTCCCCAAATTCCAGCAGGAGTAATTCCTGAGTGCAGAGCCAGGAGTAACCCCTGAGCACCACCAGGTAAAAACCTCAAACAAACCAAAACAAACAAACAAACAAAAGAAAATGAAGTGTACCTGTTATTGCTACACCATGAAACTAATAGTTTCATTGTAATCACAGTCCTCCGTTGTTCACCAATTTGCTCGAGCAGGCCCAGTAACGTCTCCATCGTGAGACTTGTTGTTACTGTGTTTGGCATATTGAATATGTCATGGGTAGCTTGCCAGGCTCTGCCGTGCGGGTGAGATACTCTCGGTAGCTTGCCAGGCTCTCCAAGAGGGACGGAGGAATCAAACTCGGGTCAGCCATGTTGGCTGCGTGCAAGGCAAATGCCCTATCCACTGTGCTATCGCTCCAGCCCAATAGTTTCATCAAGGTGAACTTACCTTGGGGGACAGGGGTAGATGGGTGGGGTGGGTGGGGTTGTGGTGAGGCTTAAGGCTTATTTTAGCTCTGCACTCCAAGATCACTCCTGGCGGGGCTCAGGAAACCATATGGGGAGCTGGGGATAAAAATCTGGGTTGGCTGTGTGCAAAACAAGTACCCTTTCTGCTGTTCTATCTCTCCCACCCAAGGTAAACTTATTAAAGAATTATTAAGTGGTTAAAAAGTTGTTCACTTTTTGTTTTCAGTTCTAGTAAAATTTTCCTAATAAAGTTACATTTACATTCACTGAAATCCTTTTACCAAGGCTTTAAAAATTCAGATTATAGTTGACCAGGCAAGATATTATAAGAATAAAAATACACATTTTCTTTAATATTTGTTACTAAAATGAGAATATTTAAGATAACAGCTGAAAAGTATGCAAGTTATCATAGTTTAAATGAATGTGTTATCAGAAAAGATGTCATAAGGCTTTTCTGGCTATGAAAGAGATTATTTTATTATGAGAATTGATAAGAAACATAAGGAAGAAGCATATGCTAGAAATTTGTTTAATTCTATGTATGTAAAAACTACACTGCGTTTTGAAGAACAATAAATTTCAAAACTACAGAAAATGCCACATAAAATATATTTGTATTAAAAATTCACTTTCATGGGAAATCGAAAATTCAGTTGCTTCCATTTATTTTTAGTACATATCTTCAGGGGAATTTTTAAGCTAATTAAAATAGGACTTAAGGGACTGGGGCAATAGCACAGCGGGTAGGGCATTTGCCTTGAACGTGGCTGATCTAGGTTTGATTCCCAGCATCCCATATGGTCCCCTGAGCACCGCCAGGTATAATTCCTGAGTACAGAGCCAGGAGTAATCCCTGTGCATCGCCAGGTGTGACCCAAAAAGCCAAAAAAAAAAAAAAGAACTTAATTATATGTCACACTTTTTTAGGATGGGGGATATAGCACAGTGGTAGAGCACATGTATATATATACATGTAGAGGACCTAGTTCAATACCTGGCATCACACATACACACACACACATAGACACACACACATAGACACACATCATCACATATTTTTCTTCAAATAAAATCCTGTGGGTAAAAAAATATATTTTAATAATGCTTTTCCAGTGATGCTATTTTCCCATAGAACTCCATTGTTTAATACATATTTAAGCATATTTAAGACCCAGCAATGAACAAGTTTCATTTACACTTTCCTAAAGGGTTTCAAAATATATGTTAAATGACTTCTGAAGTGAGGAGATACCCAAATTTTTATTTAAGTGAACAGATATTCCACCAAAGCTTAACTTGTCAGTATCAAGCAATTCAAAACAATTTGTTAAAAACTCAGGCCAGGATTTTAAAAAACATTGTTTTTAATTTTAAAAGAATTCAAAAATGAGCCTGCACATGGATAAAGGATGTTTTCCAGTTGTTAATTATAAGAGGCATTAATTCCTCCAGAAGTTACAAGTGTCAGTTTCTAAATACTAGAGAATTGGGATCGATGGATTTTATAGTAACCTTAAGTTAGTTTATGCCTAATGTTTAGGTAATGAAATTTCATTAGGTAAACTATGAATAAAAAATAATCTCTGAAATCATAAATTTAGGTTGAAGTAGCATTTTCCTTGGCATGCATTGTTCTAAAGAATGATAAGTTACAAAAAGTGTTGCAAAAAAGTGAAGGATTTGAGTATACTGATGTCCTTTATCTTCTTCATTCACCAGAAAAGGTAAGATCTTTACAAAATGTTAGAGCTCATTAGTAGTTAGTTTTAATCCAGTATGCCATCAAATTATCAAGTCTTTTTAATGGAAACACATAAATGTATTACTGCAGACATGTAAAAATCATTGTAGTAATACTGTCCCTATTGATCATAGTTGTTACTTTTAAAATTTTTTAAATAATGGCAATTGTATTGCTTGGGTAATAATTTTTTTTTAAAAAAATCTCTTCTGTACTTAATGTTATCAAACCTTGAACTTTATTTTATGACCTTTAACCCTTCAGGCATCTGTGTTACCCAATATGCTAGAGGGGTGCTTTTCAAACTCCTTTTTTGTAATGAAGGAACTCCTTCTCCTCGCTGCCCCCCAGAAATCTGTGTAGAAAGATTTTCTTAACTTTAAATTTTAGTATTATTTTAGAATTTCAAAAAAGGTGTTCAGGTATATTCTTCATTAGTTTTTCTGGATGCCAACCAAGAAACTAACGTTGATATATATGTATATATAAAAATTGATATATAAGATGTATATACATTTTACATATGTGTGGCGCGCGCGCGCGCGCGTGTGTGTGTGTGTGTGTGTTGTCTCTGGTATAGAGCAGTGTGTCTGAGGGACTCAAGAACTAGGTTAGCTGATCAAATAATTTTTACTCCATTCCTATCATGTTCATAAGCTAGCTATTGATTCAGTAACATACTTAGTTATCTTCTCTCTCCTCTAATTTCTGCAGCACATTTAGTAATTTGAAGGTTTCTGCTCTAGTTTTGAGGATTTGAGTAAATGGAGTATTTTCACAAAAGCCCTAGGTGTATCAATGTGCTCCTAGGAAGAAGTTTGGGATCAATAATACTGTGCAGGGATGGAGAGATAGTATGGGGGTGTGGAGGGTTGAGAATTAGGGTGGTGATGAAGGCACATGACTCCTATGCAGCCAACCCTGGTTCAATCTCCTGTACTGCATGGCCACTCAAGCATTGTTCTGTGTGGCCCTGGATGCCCTCAAGGTAACCAGGGAGACCTAGGGGGACAAAATAACAAATACCATTCATAAGAAATCCTAGGTGACTTTGACATCAAATCCCGCAATTGTGATGATTTTTTTTGAAGTTTTATTATTGAAACATCATGAGGTACAGAGTGCCTGAGAATAGATGACTGGTTAAAGAAACTTTGGTACATCTTCACAATGGAATATTATGCAGCTGTTAGGAAAGATGAAGTCATGAAATTTGCTTATAAGTGGATGGTCATGGAGTATATCATGCTAAGTGAAATGAGTCAGAAAGAAAGAGACAGAGAGAGAAGGACTGCACTCATTTGTGGAATATAAAATAACATAATATGAGACTGACACCCAAAGATAGTAGAGACAAGGGCCAGGAATATTGCTCCATAGTTGGAAGCCTGCCTCATGAGCTGGGGAAAAGGCAGCTGGAATAGAGAAGGGATAACTAAGCCAATGATGGTTGGAGGGATTGTTCAGGATGGGAGATGTGTGCTAAAAGTAGATAAAGGACCAAATGTGATAGCCTCTCAGTATCTGTATTGCAAACCATAATGCCCAAAAGTAGAGAGAGAATATGGGGGAAATTGTCTGCCTTAGAGGCAAAGGGAAGGTTGGGATTGAGGTGGGGGCGGGGGCGGGATACCGGGGACATTGGTGGTGGAGAATGTGCACTGGTAGAAGGATGGGTATTTGATAATTGTATTACTGAAACTCAAACATAAAAGCTTTGTAACTGTATCTCACGCTGATTCAATAAAAACAAACAAAAAACCCTTTCAATAACATGATAAATGGAATAAGCTAAAGATAATGCATGTTTCTCCCATTTTTAGGATGTTCGTTTAAGGGCAGCTTATGCATTAACACTTTTTGCCTACAATAATCGCTTTCAACAATTCTTGATATTGGAAAGTGGAATGATAACCATATCAATTTTTGAACCTTTTCTTGGATCAATAGAGGAAACTGAGAGGGCAATGGCAGCATTTCAGGTATAAAAGTGGTGTGTACATATATATATATATACACACACACACACATATGTACACATATGTATTTATATATATCTGTAAAAATATTTCCTTCTAAGATTGATTGCCTCTTATTTTAAACCCCATCAAATGTGGTGTGGTACTCTTGGAGTATGGGTGGTGTGAGGTATGAGTTGTCTTCCTGGCCCCGCAGTTCAGAAATAGGTTCACTCCTGGGTGAGGCTCAGCTTGAGCATGTGGAGAGCAGCTGTGAGCATGGTGGCAGTTGGTTCTGGAGGTTTCTGGTTGCTGGGGATGGGTAACTTGAGGTGAGGAGAAAACTTCATGATTTATAAGAATTTCTTCCCTTATGAGAGTCTTACAAGTTAAAAGGTACTTTTACCTTTAGTCGGCAAACCTGATCTCATAACATTTTATAAGGATGGTAGACAGTTAATGTATTTTCATCACTTGTGACATTTTCATCACTTGAAACATCACTCATGTTTCAAGGAAGTAGATGGAGAAATATTTTAGTGTTTTTAAACTGTGTATCTTGATTATATTTCAACCTGACACAACTACAATAGTTGGATTCTTCCTATACTCTTCATTCTTTTTCTGTCTTTTCTTTCTTTTTTGATCTTAGTAGAAGTGTTTCCTATGAACTCAGTTCAAAATGCAAAAATAGTAGAAAGAACATCACTGTCACTGTCCTCCAGTTCTTCATCGATTTGCTCGAGCAGGCCGAGTAACATTGTGAGACTTGTTACTGTGTTTGGCATATGGAATACATCATGGGTAGCTTGCCAGGCTTTGCTGTGCAGGCTAAATACTCTCGGTAGCTTGCCAGGCTCTCCGAGAGGGGCGGAGGAATGGAACCCAGGTCGGCTGTGTCGCAGAGTGCAAGGCAAACGCCCTACCCACTGTGCTATCGCTCCAGCCCTATCCTTTCTATATTCTTCCGATAGTCACTGCAGTGACTGGATGGAGAAAGGATTCTAGCTCCTTCCACCTACCACCAAACTTGTTTTTGTTCTACAGAAACAATTCAACATTTTCTTACCCTCCTGCGAAGTACACCAACCCTCCACCCCACAAACCAACCGAATACAAAGAACAATTATAAAAGTTTAATTGGAGATGCTGAGTAGAAAATGTTCAATCCTTCTCCACTTTTCTGCTTTTAGATTATTATATTGGGTAAAGTCATAATAGATGTGGACCATGTTGCTTTGTCTGCAAGAGGAGTTACTATTTTAGTTGAAAGCCTTTATTCAGTTCAACCCAATACTATTATGTTGACAGGTAAGTAATGACTAGATGATAATTGTGTTGACCTAGAACTATTTTCAAAAAATATTTTGTCATCTCAACAATAAAAAAATACTAAGTATGATGCTATGTCACCATGTTTGAAGAGAGAGATCATGGATATCAGTTCCATGGAACTGCAGACTGTGTCTTGATGGAATGATGGGAGTCTATTCTGCATTCTGATCAGAGAAAGTTAACTCAGAACATGACATCCTTGTTTCATTATTTTTTTTCAAACCCTTACTACCAACAACAAAATTTACACCTTGGTTTATGATAGTTGTGGGATAGTTACACTGATATACACATCTAATTTTCTTTTGGCTAATATGTATGCACATTTTGCTAACATGTAAGAGTCTCTATTCTCTTGATATAGTTTTAAAAAAAGGAAAAAGAGGCTTAGTAGAGTTCTTATAGTCGTAATGTAAGTATAGTCCAAATCTAAGCCTCCAGTTGATCAGGTAATTGGTTTATAGATCAATTTTAAAGCAACACAAATCAATACCAAAACAGATACAAAGAATGATTATTATGTTTTTAAACTGAACTGAGGAAAGTAGACTGCTTGATGGCATAAAATCAACATTTTCATAGGTGTTGGTGAACAACGCATGTCTGAAACTCATTCATACATATCTGTAACTTGGTAATTCACAGTGAGTCAATGAAAAAATATTTTCCTAGAGTATTTACTTGGCAAGTATAGAAAATTCAAGCAAACAAATGTCTTAGGGACAAAAGCTAGGGGGAAAAAACTGCTTAAAATAAATAATTACTATGTTTTCGTGTAGATACTATTAATTCCATGTCATAGCTGTTCCATGGCCTGGAAAATAGTCAGGGTGGGTTTAAAGGTTATTCGCAAAGAAATGCCACATTGTATCAGCGTTCAAATACTATTTTTCTCAGGTTGGCAGGAATCAACTCTAAAAAAAAAAAAAGGCTGGGCTTTGTACTCTAGCAAATGACATACATACTTGGATTCAATGGAACATAAATGATCTGTCCCTGAGCCACCTCCTGCTCTCTCCTTACTCTTAGTTCCCTTGGATCACCACTTCTTATTTCCCATCATAAAGTGGCATGCACCTCTCACCCTTCTCAGCCAGATCTTTAATAAACTCAAGCCTTTAAAAATATAAATCTGAAAAAAAAAAAAAACAAAGTTGTCATTATGATGCCAGAGGGCCCCATAGCTGACTTATGTGAAACGAGGAGAAAGATGATCACTTTCTCCCCAACTGCCTCTGCCACCTGGGACCCAGGGTTACTGGGTTCTTGTCTTGCCTCACAGAAAGAAATTTCAGGAGCAGATAAGCAGTGAAGTAAATAGGTTTTATTTGGATGGTTTCTGAAGGTGTGGAGGGGGAGAGAGAGAGAGAGAGAGAGAGAGAGAGAGAGAGAGAGAGAGAGAGAGAGAGAGAGAGAGAGAGAGAGATGCACTCAAGAGAATGCCAGCTTCGGGGAGATGCAGTTGACACACTTGCTTGGGTGACACATGTGCTCGGCCATGTGGGCACAAGAAGCACATGGGCTTGGGCAGCGTATGCACAGGCTTCCTTTGTTCGAGGTGGCTTTTATAGGGTTTCTCCAACCTGCTCCCATGTGGGGCTTCTTTCTAGGTAAAAGTTCGTTGCTAAGGAGGTTACCAGGGAGGTTGGGAGTAGTGATGATCTTCTTTGGGCTGAATCACTAAAGTTAATCAGATTAAGGGAGAGGTCTGAGGGTATCTGACGAATGTCCTTCATGGAGAGGGGTCCAATCTCCTCAGGGTCTTATCCATATCCACAAAGTGGATCAGCCTTGCTCCCAGAAGTTCAGCTGAGCTGTTTCATTGTCCAGGGCCTTTCCCTTATAGAACTGTCTACAACAGTTAGACAAGTTTTGCTATACACTGTACAACCCAACCCTCCCCATGATGAGCAATAAATATAAATGTTCCTTGAATTCTAATGGAAACCAGAAAAAATATTCAAGGGGAGATAGTATAGTGGGTACCAGCACAAAGCAATCGGGGTTCAATCCCTGGCACCACATGGAATTCCCTGAGCACCATCAAGAGTGATTCCTGATGCCTGCTGCGATCTGAAAACAAACACACAAAAGGAAGAAAAACCCTGTTAAAACCTGAGATACTTGTCGGGCCAGAGAAACAGTACAGTGGGTAGAGTGCTTGCCTTGCACATGGCTGCCAGATTCAATCCCTGGCACCATATATGGTCCTCCGAGCCTTTCCAGGAGTGATCCCTGAGTACCACTGTGTGTGGCCCAAAACCAAAACTAAAAAATGTAAGAAAAAGAAAACAAAATCCTCACCTACTTAAGGTACTCATCCACAACTGTTAACAATTCATCTTTAAATGTGTTATACTTAACTCCAATATAGGTACAATATTCTGAAAGAGTGCCTGGTCAAAGTTCCAAAAACAAAATATAAATTTGAATGTTATTGTTTTAAGTTGTTAGCATAAATATGCATATTTATTAATGACAAGTTTGCTTTGTTACCCTCAAGACATTTCTTTTTATGCAAAGAACTTCAGTGTCTTTAAACTTCAATAATCGATACTTTGATTCTGAAACACCATTAAGAGCTTTCCTTACAAGCCCCTTCTTCTCTTTATTGTGACTGAAGGTGGGGAAGGGGGGGGGGGGGGCGCTAAGAGTTATCTGCTTAGCCCAGAGCCATTGCTTTTGAACTGCAAAAAGGACACATTTACATTTTCTTGTGGTAGTTCAATCCAATCATGATTACTCATTTTTTTTTTTGATAAGTGCCCTACCTGCTGCATTATTGTTCCAACTCCAGTTCACATTTTTTTAAAACTAAAACCGGAAAACAAAATATATTCTAAAACAATGGGAAAGAGCACCTCTGAAATAATGACATAATAACATAGTATCAAATCAACAGTTTTTGTTTTGTTTGTTTTTCAGTCTCACCCAGTAATGCTCAGGGGTTACTCCTGGCTCTGCTCTCAGGAATTTCTCCTGGTGGTGCACAGGTGGGACCATATGGGATGCCACTAATCAAACTTGGGTTGACCTCATGCAAAGCAAGCACCCTACCAACTGTACTATATCTCTGACTTCTCAAATAATAAATTAGGGGATGGTTTAGTTCATATTTAACTAATATTACACATGTCTTTTCTCCATATTTCTTAATAGAGATGTTCTGTGGCTCAAATATTTAATAATGTGCACAAAGGAACAAAAACTTAGGACATAAGTATAAATCAAATAACAAGCCATTTTACTGTTTTATTTTATAGGAAATTTAATAGCTAGCCTGGCTCATTCTAGACCGGGTATTCCGGAAGCATTTGCTACATTAGGAACAATCCAACGTCTCTGTTATCATTTGTACTCAGGAATAGATGAGGTAAAAACTAATTCTAAAATTGCCCTTCGAAAAACATATTTGCACTTCTCACTTCTGTGGTTTAATTTCTCCACTGGTTAACTGTACCATATAGCAATAGCTAGTATTACAATGTCAGGCACTCTTTAACCACAGATTTCTTATTGGACTCAAGAAGTTTAGAACTAAGTATGTTACTAATCCGGGATACGTGCAACAGGCAGTTCAGGAATATGGAAGTAGAGTTTTGGCTCATACAGAGTATTAGCCCCAAACAAGATTCAGCCTGGCAGTTGGGTCTTATTAAAACCTGGAAGGTTAGATCCTCTTCAGATCAACCGCTGCCTAAGTGGAAGGGGCTTCACCAAGTTATCCTGAGCATTTCCACTGCTGTATAATTTAATGGAATTTCTAGTTTGGGGAATGAGATGGTTTTTCAAGCACTACATCTCCCATCCACAAATCTGGTTCCCACAAAACGCGCACACTTGTTTTAACTTCAAAATTTAAGATTCAAAATACAAGTACACCGATGACACAGACTTATAATTAAAATATTTCAAAATATGTCACAAAAATGATTATTTTGTTCTCTCTGATCTTGCTAAAATACTTCCATGATTAATTGAAATGAATGATGGTACAGTCCATTAGGAGTCTTTCTTATCTATGACAAGCAGAGATGAGGATGTGAGGGACAGACTGGCTATACTGGGTTTTTGCCTAAGTATTCTCCTACACTGCCCCTCAAGGTATAAGACACCATTTTTCCAGACTTCAGGTTGTGCCAGACTCACTGGGTGATCTGTTGCATCAGAGACTGCCAGTCTCCATTCCTAGAATTTCAGATCTCATACATCTCAATGTAGACCCCAGACTATACCTTTCTAACAAGTTCTCTGAGGCTGAAGTAGCTGGCCCATGGACCATACACCAAGAACCAGAGACCAGGTTTCAGTGGGAAAAAAAAATAACTGCTTTCCTGAATGGCATACATAGAACTGTTTTCCTGAACACCATTAATGGCGCCTTTTGTTTTGTTTTGTGGGGTGGGGAGAGAGTGTTGGGCCACATCTGACCATACTTAGGATTTACTCCTGGTTCTGCTCAAGGATCAATGTTGATGGGGCTCAATGGGATTATAAAAGGTGCAGGGGATCAAACCTGAGTTGGCCATGTGTGATGCAACTACCTTACAGCTGAAATATCTATCTGGGCATAATGGCTTGTTTTTATCCTAGAGTCTCTTACCTATTAAGCGGTGAGAAGTTTTGGAAAGCAGTGAGGCCAAGGCTGCATCCCATCATAGCTTATCATAGATTTTTAGGACAGTCTTTCTCCCAAAGTAGATAATACTGCTCCCCTTGGGTGCATTTTTAACTTGTTCCTTTGAAAAAGGCAGGTATCAAGGGGGAATGGCTATATTTTTTCCCTGAAAAGGGGTGATAGGCCACATAATTTTGGGAACCTCTATTTTAGGGGAGAAGTGAAATCAGAACCTCTATTTTAGGGGGGAAGTGAGTTATTTTCATAGCTATATAGGTGTGTACAATCAAGCTAAATGTAAAATCAAGATGAAGACTCATTGTCTTAGTTCTAACTCCAGGGTTCCTAATCTGGCTGCTTATTAGAATCATCTGGTTCTTTAAAAATAATACAAATACCTAGATTCTACTGCCACCAGAGTCTAATTCAGTTGGTGGGTTTTATTTTATTTTTTAACTGGTTAATTCTAAAATGCTGTGGTGGATTGAGAACAACTACTAGAAACCAATCTCTCTCTCTCTTTCTCTCTCTAGCATTTGTTTTCTTCTATAGATTGCTACTGGTTGGCACACATTTATTATATATCATGGCTAAGAGATTTTCTTGTAGGTTAGCTATTTTAAGAACACAGCGCAATGATTATGGAGGAATTGTTTCTTCTTGGTTTAGGTTCGCACAGCTTGCTCCTGTGCTCTTGGCTACCTAAGTTACAATGCAACTGCTTTCCGAATCATATTAAAGGAATGCAGGAATAAACCCAATCAGTTCCTTCGTATAACAAATAATATCAGCAAGGATGCAAGTATTAATCCAGCATTTTTAAAGGAATTCCAAAGGCAACAAAGTGTTGGACTCCCTTCCTTAAGGTATTGTACCTATATTAGAAATGACAGTTGTAAAATTACTAACAGAGGAGCTTGTGAAAGATTTAAGAAAGATCAAACAAGAACAACTATCCTTCTTATGAATATATACCTTGTAAACCCAGTGATAGACCTTATTAAAAAGTCTACTGCCAAAGCCTGTTTTAATTACTAGCAACAGCATGAATACGTTTTAAACACAACTGATTTTGAGAAATCCTATCTGGCCACGTTTAATCACTTGTTTCGTGGTCCTGGAGATAGAACTCAGGGCCTCACATATCAAGGTAAGCACTATTGTGCTGAGCATCCTGATCCTGATGAGTCATATTTAAGCAAATAATTTGGGAGACTGATTGCCTCCAACACTCACCCAGGAAAATCAGTTTTGGGTAAACTTGGATACATCTGTAAGTTCTAAACTAAGAAGGAGCCCCACCATGACTGGGGCGCCAAACATGTCTTCTGAACTTTGTCCAAACCTACGTTGAACTACTAAGATGCAAACAATTAAATGCTAGCTTCTGAGTGGTCAGACTTCTAGCATGTCTGCCTAGCATTTATTTAGCACATTCTGACTCTGGGTTTATAGTTTCACCATGAATTTAAGTTTCTGTATCAAAAAAGAGGCAACTCTTCTTACAATGTACTACTTTATTTCTTGAAGCTCAATTACGAGTCTTATCTGCAAATAGCACAATTCATACAGAGAAAATGGACTCACTGAAGATACATTATTAACTTGAGAATTGGATCACAACATCACAACAGTGTGTCATTGTTCTAGAAATCAATCTTAGACATAAAGACAAGTACATCTTCCGAATCATTTCAATTTTAATCTTTGAAAAATGGAAACCTAAAATTGACAACCTATTTTTTTAAATAAATTATTTATTGTCTGTTTTTTTTTTTGCTGTATACTGTCAGAAAATTTTTTTTTCTTTTTTTATTAGTGAAAAACCATGAGGTACAGTTATAGGCTTACAAATTTTGTGCTTGGGTTTCAGTTATACAATGATCAAGTGCCCATCCCTCCACCACTGCCCGTCATCCATCCCCACGGGTCCCAGCATCCCCCCTCATCCCCCCCCTCCCGTCCCATCCTGCCTCTGTGGCAGGGTATTCCCCCTTGTTCTCTCTCTCTTCTTTTGGGTACTGTGTTTTGCAAGAGAGGCTTTGAGTGGCAATCATGTTTGGTCTATCGACTACTTTTAGCATGCTTCTCCCACCCTGGGAGGGCCCTCACAACACCTTTCATTTGGTACTCTCTTCTCTATCTGAGCTTCCTTTTCACCTAGAGCCTGTGGCTGGCCTTCCATTCATGGAGCAAAATTCCTGGTACTAATCTCAGCCATTCCTGGGTGTTAATCTCCCTTTTTGTTGCTTTATGTTCCCCAGATGAATGCAATCTTTCTGTGTCTATCCCGCTCTTTCTGACTCATTTCGCTTAACATGATACTTTCCATGTAGTACCACTTGTATGTAAATTTCATAACTTCATCTTTTCTAACAGCTACATAGTACTCCATTGTGTAAATGTACCAAAGTTTCTTTAACCAGTCATCTGTTCTTGGGCACTCAGGTTTTTTCCAGATTCTGGCTATTGTAAAGAGTGCTGCAATGAACAAACAATTGCAGATGTCACTTCGACTCTACCTTTTTGCCTCTCTGGGATATATTCCCAGGAGTGCTATAGCTGGGTCAAATGGCAGATCAAATTTTAATTTTTTGAGAGTCGTCCATACTGTTTTCCAAAAGGGTTGGACCAGCCGGCATTCCCACCAGCAGTGAAGGAGGGTCCCTTTCTCGCCACATCCGTGCCAGCACCAGTTGCTTTTACTACCTATTTTTTTGAACGGGGAGGTACACCCTGCTAACTCTTGGCTCTGCACCCTGGGACGAGTCCTAGTGGTCTTGGGGGACCATATGTGGTACTAGGGATAGACCCCAGGTTGTAGTGTGTAAAGTAAGCTCCTTACATGCTGTACTACTATTGCTCTGGCCCCTGATCACCAATTTTATACGATAAATCAGGGAAATTGAGAATGCTAAAAAAAATGTCTTTATTAAAAAAGTAATTTAGTATAAATAATGGAAATAGCACAGCGGTAGGGCGTTTGCTTTGCAAGCGGCTGACCCAGCCGAGCTGGGTTCAATTCTTCCACCCCTCTCGGAGAGCCCAGCAAGCTACTGAGAGTATTTCGCCCGCAGAGCAAAGCCTGGCAAGCTACCCGTGACGTATTCAATATGCCAAATACAGTAACAACAAGTCTCACAATGGAGATGTTACTGGGCCCGCTCGAGCAAATTGATGAACAATGGGAGGACAGTGCTACAGTGCAATGCAATGGAAATATTATTTTATACTGTATTTCCCATAGCTTGTCCATAACACAAATTTTAGGGAATTAGTAAAAGGTAAAGCCTGGCAAGCTACCCGTGACGTATTCAATATGCCAAACACAGTAACAAGTCTCACCATGGAGACGTTACTGGGCCCGCTGGAGCAAATCGATGAACAATGGGAGGACAGTGCTACCCTTTTCTCAGTACACTTTACTGCCCTCTGCTGGGAACAGCCATAATTATAAATTTACAGTGACTGAGGTAAAGTAAAGTAAAAGTAAAGTAAAGGCCCTCCCGTTGATCATCGATTTGCTCGAGCGGGCCCAGTAACGTCTCCATTGGAGACTTTGTTGTTACTGTGTTTGGCATATTGAATACTCTCGGTAGCTTGCTGGGCTCTCCGAGAGGGGCGGAGGAATCGAACTCGGGTCGGCCATGTTCGCCCTACCCCCTGTGCTATCGCTCCAGCCAGTGACTGAGGTAAGAATTGAAATTCTAGGATTTTAAGTATCAATCAGTGGTTAGTAAACCTATAAACCTATAAATTGCTACCACATGAGATGGAACTAGTAAGGAAATAACTCCTATACCTAACAGTTCTATGCATTCGAAACATTTATATGTACTATTCTCTTTAAAATTTCTCGACAATTCTGTGGATTTTAGCTTAAATGAAACAATAGAAAATTCACTTAATAATTGGTAAGGTCTATCTGAAACCTTTGGGATAGAAAGCCATATCCTTTTACAAATATTCCATAATTACATTACTGGAGACTAGAAACAGAAAGATTGTGGTTGGGATGATAGTGTTTTCAAGGAGTTATACCACTTCTGTTCCCACATTCCCACCTCGTCTTAAGAATGACAGATTATAAGTGTCCTTGGAAGTATGTATACTTACTATCTATCTATCTATCTATCTATCTATCTATCTATCTATCTACTATCTATATCTATATAGATATGGATATTTTACACACATCCAGGGGTGTTCAGGGGCTATTTTTGACTCTGTACTCAGGAGTGCCCCCTGGAAATACTCAGGGGAAGATCAAACCTGGATGGGACACATGCAAGGCAAGTGATGTCCAGGATTTGAATTGGGTTTAGCAGGTTGCAAGTCAACCACTTCAACTCCTATACTATCTTTCCTGCTTGGATGGGTAAACTCTAAAGCAGGTACAGAGAAATCTTACTGGTGGTAATACAAGATTATTCAGCAACACAAGATTATTCAGTGCCCTTGGATAATGCATACTGCTTAGTAGTACTGTAATTTATCATATTCTGTACCCTCTGGTGGAAACAACCTCCACTCCCTCCCTACCCCCCGGCTTGAATCTATTTGAAGATTTCTTCAAAACCTAAGCTAAGTGTCTTTTCTTACAAAAATGTCCTTCTTTTTCCTGGTTAAGCAGATCTAATGTTCTAAATATGAGTGAGTACATATAAAATACAGGTTACATGTGTAGTTATACAGATAACATGCATGAATTAGATTACTTGAGATTATAACAGGGTACCTGGGTATACTATATAATATTTCTAATTTTTTTGTGTAAAAAAAATTTTTTTTCCAGCTTGGAGAATAATGGAGGACCATCCATAATTCCTGTCTTTAAAAAAGGTAATTGAGTTTTCGATTATCTCTGAGGTTGCTTCTAGCCCTTACACTTTAAAATCGTATTCAACTTTTAAGTAAAAATCACCAAAGCAATATATCTATAAACATTTGCTTTTGTAATTCTGTATGCCTGTATACTTTCTATCTGTAAGCCCATGTTAATAATCTTTTTTTGTTTTGGACCACACATAGCTGTGTTCAGGGATTATTCCTAGCTCTGTGCTTAGAGGATTATATGTGGTGCTGGAGATTGAACCTGGGTCAGCTCCATGAGAGGCAAGTGCCTTACTGGCTGTGCTATCTCTCAGGCCTCTGCGAATGATTTCACTTAAGGACTTCCTTGCCAATAGCAGTAACTGAAAAAATATCGTCCATAGAAATGCCATTATTTTAAAGACATAGAAATATGACTTATTTTGTTACTTTCTGTTTTACTTACAACTTATCTACTCTATAAGTTCTTAGGGCAGAAGCCATTTCTTTTTCCCATCGATATTCTGCACAGCTTTGCACATAATTGGTAGATGGTGGATGAGTAGCCTTGGCCTGTCAGAGCAGATTCAGATCTTATCATTTTACTTACATTTATCTAATAGGAAAAATAAATTACTTGTGATTTCATGCACTGTTTAATGCTTGTTTGTGTGTCCTCGAACTGTAGGACCAAAATGATTCTTTTTTTTTTCTTTTTTTTGCTTTTTGGGTGACACCGGCGATGCTCAGGAGTTAGTCCTGGCTCTGCACTCAGGAATGACTTCTGGCAGTGCCTGGGGGACCATAAGGGATGCTGGGAATCGAACCTGGGTCGGCTGCATGCAAGGCAAACGCACTACCTGCTGTGCTATCACTCCAGCCCCCCAAAATGATTCTTATTTGACATATCATCTTATATATAGTCAAAAACAAGATTGGAACCATTTAAAAGTAAAGATCAGTTTGCTGCTGTCACAAGTAGAAAGGAAGAGAACAGAAAAGAGAGTAAAAGAAAAAAGAATTTCATTTATTCAGGGAATATCTGAGGGATATTAGAAATATGTGGAAAATTATTTGTTAATAAAATGGGTCAAGACTTATCTTGTTTTGAACCGGAGTGATAGTATAGCTGGCAGGGAGCTTGCCTTGCATGTGGCTGGCCCAAGTTTGATTCCTTGGCATCCCATATCCTGAATCCACCAGAAGTGATCCCTCAGTGTAGAGCCAAGAGTCAGCCCTGAGCACAGCTGGGTGTGGCCCCAAAACAAAACAAACAAAATAAAATCATCTTTCTCTGTGTGTGGCATTAATGTAAGAATAATTTACAAATCAGAATCAAGGCAGTCTCATTCCTTCTTTAAAGCTTGTAAACATCTGTCTACCAGTAAGTTCTATGAAGTGAATTGTGGTAACCTAAGGAAAAAAAAAAAGGTAAAGTCAACTTAAGAAAAAATGTAATTTCAGTGTAAAGCTATCATATGTCTTTTACACTTTATTGGGTGTTAAATTTTCCCTTCCTTTACCAATGGTATTGATAGTTGGCATTTGTTCTTTTCTAAATGCCAGTTTGACAAATAAAAGCTGACAACATATCCTTACCCAGACAATTTTTTTTTTAATCACTAACATCTAAAGGTCCAGAGGCTGTTGATCTGCTCTTTTAGTATGCTTTGGTGATGTGAAGAAAATTGAACAATATAGAAGTCTGAATAATGAACTTATAATAAGCTGTGGCTCTTAGTCTTGAGAAAGAAATATTTTATTTAACTGTGGATCTCTAATTTTCAGGGAAAGAGCACAGACAAAAATCAAAACCTAAAATACAACCAAGAGATTCCTTGACTTTAATTCCTCCTGCAACTAACTTCATGGGACTCCTTCAAGCATCAAAAAAGACCACTGTTTCTCAGAATCCTTTTTCATTTTCAACCACAATTTCAACAGATATCGTAAAAGTATCAAGACCAAGAATAGTGTTTTTGAACCAACTTGGGAAAAATGCACAGAAAACTAACCTAGAGCCTGCAGAAAGTCAATAAAAAGTTATTTCAGTCTGAGAGGATTCCTGAGCAATCTTTTAAAATATATCTTTAATTGTGGTAAAATACACATAACTGAGTTATCTTTTTTGCGTGGGAAGTCTAAATTCTTGTTAAATACTATTTTCTGTCCAAGAACACCTGCATTTAAACATGTCCCAGCTCGTTAGTATATATCTATCAAGTGTAAAAACTATACTGAAATTGGTATGCTGAGCTTAAAGAGGCATGCTTCAAAACAGCCCACATGTGAACACTCACTGCAACACCTTGACAATTCTAACGCTAAATACTATAGCTGCAGGAGTCTCTGAAAGTCTTGAATTACGGAGCCAGGGATGCAGTTCAGTGGCAGGGCACATTGTGTGTGCCAGGCTCTGGGGTTTGTCCCCAGTACTATACATATATACATACCTACATACAATAAGGGACAGAACAATAGCACAGCAGGTAGGGCGTTTGCCTTGCGCGTGGACAACCCGGATTCAATTCCTCTGTCCCTCTCGGAGAGTACAGCAAGCTACCAAGAGTATCTTGCCTGCATGGCAGAGCCTGGCAAGCTCCCCGTGGCGTATTCAATATGCCAAAAACAGTTACTGATGCCTGCTCGAGCAAATCGATGAATGGAAGGACAGTGCTACAGTGCTACACTGCTACATACAATAAATCACCCTACCCATCAAGTACTAAAGTATGGTAAAAAAAAATGCACTTATTACTATTCCCCACATTATTTATAAATTATCCATGGTTTGCAGCTGGAAAAGTTTGTTTTTGTTTGTGTTTTTGTTCTTTTTGTTTTTGTTTTTTGGGTCACACCTGGCAATGCTCAGGGAGCACTCCTGGCTCTGCACTCAGGAACCATTCCTGGTGGTGCTCAGGTGACTATATGGGATGCTGGGAATTGAACCCAGGTCGGCCATGTGCATGGCAAACACCCTTCCCACTATTCTATGGCTCTAGCCCCACAGCTGGAAAAGTTTGATTTGGCTTTTTTGGTTTTGTTTTGTTTGGGGGCCATACCCGGTGGTTTTCAGCTCTGCACTCAGGGATCTCTTCTGGTGGTGCTGGGGAGGGAGAGGAGGGGAGAGGGGAGGCAGCCCATAAGGGGGTACCAGGGATCAAACCCAGATCAGCCACTTAAAAAGCAAGTGCCCTATCCACTGTATCATTGCACCTGCCCCACAAGGTTTGATATTCTATATGGCTTACAATGACAGATTTCTTTGACTAGAGGGTACTCTAAAATCCATTCTGTTTTGTTTTCTTTTTAGTTTTGGGGCCACATCCAGCAGTGGTCAGGGGTTACTCCTGGATTTAAACTTAGGAACGACTCCTGGCGGGGCTCAAGAGACTACCTGGGATGCCACAGATAGAACCCAGATCAACAGCATGCAAAGCAAGTAAGTGGTCTACCTGCTGTACTATCGCTCCAGCCCCTCTTTAAGAGTTTTGATGTGCATGTTTCTCTTTTACTAGCACCAACCCTGCTTTGTGTTTGATCTCAGAGGGAATGCTTTCAGTTTCTCACCACTGAAAATGATATTGGGTATGGGTTGTTAAAGATGGCTGTTACTGAGGCCAGAGAGATAGTACCGCATGTAATGGGACTGCCTTGCAAGTGCTCACCATGGTATTATCCCTGGCACCCCATAAAGTCCCCTAAGCTTGCCAGGAGTGATCCCTGTGATTTTGTTGACATCAATGTTTGCATCAAGGAAACTGGTCTGAAGTTTTCTTTTTTGGTAGCATCTTTATTTGCTTTATTAGTGTAACACTGACTTCTTAAAGCTGTTAGGAAGGATTTCTTAAATATTTTTGGAAGAGCTTGAGTAGTAAAGGTAATAAGTCTGTTTGGTTCACCTGTCTAATGGTGAAAGTAGAGTGCTGAAGTCTTCCACTACTGTTCTGTTTCCATCAGTGCGGGTTTTTTTTTTTTTTTTTTTTTTTTTTTAGGTTTGTGAGCAGAAGCTTTATAAACTTTGATGATTCTTCCCTTGGTGCATGTCAGTCGTTAAGAATTAATACTGATTGATCTAGTTTTCCCTTAATTGACCTAGTCTTCCCAGTAAGTGTCCATCTTTAGCTCTAATTACTTTTTTTCCCTTAGATTCTATACCTCTGTTATTCTGACTTTTCCATTACCATTTAATGGCATTTGATTGGGACACACAGGGATAGATCTAGTTCCACCCTTTTAGTAGTTGGGCCTGTTATGGAGAGTATTCTGGCTCTGTATTAAGATCCTGTAGTTTCCCATCCACCCTAACAGTCAGTGAGGCGGTAAAGCGTAGCAGGCACATGGACATGGCAGCACTGTGGAATTGGGTGTCCACGTAGTCCCTGGGGGATGAGGCTGCTTTCTTCTGGATAACTGGCAGAAGGGGTAGGTTCCCCAGTCTGGTGAGTGCACCTAAATTGGGGGAATTTAGAGTGTTACTGCCTAGCATGAGTCCCAATTTCTGTGCATGAGTCTGCATAGTCCCTGAGAGCTGCTCAAATAGATTTTTAGAAAGATAAACACCCCATTCTTCATTTTCCAGAGAGTAATATATATTTTTATAATTAATAATGACTGCTGCTTCTGCTAGAGAAAGTGATTTTTGTCTTGATTTAGAATTTGGTACATCTTTGACCAGCATACTTTTCTAAACCTGTTTTTGTCAGAAAAGTAGACTAATGCTTAGATGTAAGCCACAAAATGAATTCTACTATGCTGATTAAGAAAAGGGGAAAATTTAGGTCTACAGAACATGGGTTAATTATATAGAATTTAAGTCACAGTCAGTCACAGTCCTCCCATTGTTCATCGATTTGCTCGAGCGGGCCAAGTAACGTCTCCATTGGAGACTTTGTTGTTACTGTGTTTGGCATATCGAATACGTCACGGGGAGCTTGCCAGGCTCTGCCGTGCGGGCGAGATACTCTCGGTAGCTTGCCGGGCTCTCCGAGAGGGGCAGAGGAATCGAACTCGGGTCGGCCATGTTGGCTGCGTGCAAGGCAAATGCCCTACCGCTGTGCTATCGCTCCAGCCCATAGAATTTAAGAATCACTGTTATTTCTATCAAGATTTTTCTTTCTCCTGCCAGGAATATTACATTATTTTCACCATAAGATGTTTTATTTTGTTATCTGATAATCTTTACTCCCAATAAGGTAAAGGTAAGGTAAAGGCCCTCCCGTTGATCGTCGATTTGCTCAAGCGGGCCCAGTAACGTCTCCATTGGAGACTTTGTTGTTACTGTGTCTGGCATATCGAATACTCTCGGTAGCTTGCCGGGCTCTCCGAGAGGGGCGGAGGAATTGGACTCGGGTCGGCCATGTTGGCCACTTGTAAGGCGAACGCCCTACCTGCTGTGCTACTCCCAATAAGAAGATATTATTATATTTTTTCAGAAGATCAGGTTAAACATCAAATGCAAGACATAAAAAGAAAGGAAGTCTATGGGTTTTGTTTTGTTTTTGTTTTTGTACCACATTCATGGTGCTCAAGCACCTTGCCGGCTGTACTGTCTCTCTGGTTCCCATTAAAAAAAAAGAAGTCTTGAACAATATTCTACAGTGCTTTACATTAAAAAATAAAAACAATGTGAAATATTACCTTTAGGACTTTCTGAAAAAAATAAAAATTAAATGCTCATTTTTAATCTTGGTACTTTTATGGCTGCTTCTCCAACTTCTTTTGATATATCTATTCCAAGAGGACATCTACAACAGAATCAAACATAATTTATTTCAAATATTTGTTCATGATTTGCCACAAATTTTGTAAACTAATTTCTTAGAATTCTGGCAAAACACTATACATAGCAAATATATAATTCATCACATTTGGTGACAGTTCTTGTTGTATGTAGTAGGACATCAAATCTAAATAATAGGTGAAGGGTATTCTTTCATTAAAAAGAAATTAAATATTTTAGCTATTTCTAATAGCTATTATTATTATAATAGTCAAGTGGAAAGAATATGGGAACTGAGATGTTTTTTAATTCGCCCTACCTGCCCTTTCCTGAGATATTTTTTGTTTTTATTTTGTTTGTTTTTTTTTTTTGTCACACCCAACATTGCTCAGGGCTTACTCTTATCTCTGCACTCATGATCACTCCCGCTTACCCCCTGGGGCTTTCTTCCTGGGGCTTTGGGAATTGAACCTGGGTCAGTTTGTACAAGGCAAATACCCTACCTGCTGTACTGTCAAGAGCAGGGACTGAGATGTTTTTGAAAGAGTTCTATTGCTGTGGCCAGAGGGATAGTACAGCCTACAGGTAAGGCACTTGCCTTGCACATGGCTGACCGAGTTTTGATTCCAGAAACCGCCCTGCAAAGAGTGACCCCTGAGTACAGCAAGCTGTGGCTCAAAAACAAACCCAAAAAACCCAAACAAAAAGGAAAAGAAATGGTTCTATTGATCTTAATTAATGTATATAAATAAATTTAAAACTTAAACACTTATCATTCATCTATTGCCAAAACTGCACTCATTCACACTACAGAAACTCCCCAGGTTTTTATCAGTTTTTCACTGAGGTTCAGCTGGTTTCTTTTTTTCCTTTGTCACCATTAGGAAGAGAGGCCTTCTTTTCTGTTTTGCCTCAGTAAATAATTTTGGCCTCATAATTTTGCTACTTATGTTTTTTAAAAAACTTATTACTTGGTTTTGGGGCCACACCTGGCTGTGCTGGGGGCAAATTCCATTTCTGTGCTCAAGAGTTGCTCCTGATAATGCTCAGGGACCATGTGGTACCAGGGATTGAACTGGTTAGGGGTATACAAGACAAGTGTCCTAACTTTCTACCTCTGTATTTATACTTTATGTTATAACCAGACCCCAACCTGGGGAAAAAGGTATCCTCCAACCTTAAAAAAGAAGCAACACTAGGAGGGAGAGAAAGTTTAATGAACTGCAGTATATATTTCACAAGCAGGAGATCTCAGCTCTGCACGGTCTCCTAAGCACAGTCAAGAGTAACACTCAAGGGTCTGACTGGAAGCATCCCCTGAGCAGTGCTGGGTGTGGCACCAAAACCAGAAAACATTAAAAAAAGAAGGCATTACTGGATTAGACTGTAATCTACTTGAGGCCAGACCACCAATTCACAGGAATTCATTTTGCCAATTCTAATTAAACTTCATTTATAATCAGTTTTAATAGTCTATGGTTTATGTATTTATTGTGATGATTATCATACTCAAAAAGCCTTAAAACATCAGTTACATCAAGGCCAAATTAGAATTATGTTAGGTTATGAAACAGAATTAACTTAGACCAAAATATGAAAAACTGCTATGGTGTAGAATTTGTATTTGAGAGAGAAAATACAGAAGATGCAGAAGACATTATCTTTTTGGCCATCTCTCAGCTGCCTGTGCAGAGATCTTGCAAAGCAGTCTCATGACTAATTCCGTTTTCGTATATTTTAAGTTTCCCAGCATACTGTGGTACTGAAAATATCTTGATATAAAAGTCCAGGCCATGGACACTGCTTCCATTCTGGTGGCAAGTAAGGGACTGCATCACCCTTTCCTATTGCCTGTTTCTAGCCAAAGATTTGTTCCAATTTTTATAACTGTTAATTGTAGCCAAATAAATAAATAAAAAACTTTTTAGAAGGTTATCTACCTCCTAGGTTCAAAAAAGAAATTAATGAAACCCTTCAAGTATGGCCAGTGTTAATGAAAAACTTATGGAAAAACAAGCAGTAGGGTGTTTACCTTGCACACAGCTGACCCGACCGACCGGGGTTCAATTCCTCCACCCCTCTCGGAGATACTGGCAAGCTACCAAGAGTATGTCGCCTGCACGGCAAAGCCTGGCAAGCCACCCGTGACGTATTGGGTATGCCAAACATGGTAATAACAAGTCTCACAACGGAGACGTTACTGGGTCCAGCAAATTGATGAACAATGGAAGGACAGTGACAAAAACAGGAAGCAAACCCCAGAATTCATTCATGTGAAGCATGTGCTTTGTCACTGAGCTAAATCCCTGACAAAAGTTTTATAATGCAACTTGCATAAAAACTGAATGCTACCACTTACTTTGGTTCATAGCGGATGTCTTTTGCATCATGCAAAATGCCCAAGCCAGCACGCAATCTTTCAATACCATTCCTAAATATAAATCATTAAAATAAAATTAATAGCCTGATAGGAAAGGAAAATTTAGTACATGAAATGAGAGTACTGCATGATGCTAAGGGAAGCACAGATGTGCTGGGGCTTACCATGCGATCATCACTCCATTGTCAGTGCACAGCCTGGGAGGAGGACACAACAAAGTGCACTGGGTTGCATTTGCTACTATCTCCAGAGCTTTTCGGATATAAAAGTTACTCGCAACACCCCCAGACACAACCTGAAGAAATTGAGAAGTCCAAAATTAACAACTGCCACACAGATCTACACCAAGTTGTTAGCTAAAAAAAAAAAGTCAACATTATATAAAACAAAAATATCACATTTTGAATGGTTTAATCTGTTTAGTCTAAAACTGAAAATAGTATTATCCACATACTGCTCACTGTCACTTGTTATATATTTTCTTCTAATCTTTTTTAAAACTAACAACTACAACACAGTATTTTAGAACCTGCAGTTTTTACTTATAAGCATCTCCCCCTATTTTACTACCTTACTCTTAAAAACTATTTTCTGGGGCTAGGAGATAGTACAGTGGTGTACACCTGAGGTCTACACCCGGCATGCACTTGACCTGGGATTGATTCCTGGTACTACAAGGTTCTCCAAGCAGCATTGCATCATTGGGCCCTTGAGCTGAACCAATGGCCTGGTTGGTGAGTAATGACTGGACTCAAGGATCTCCTGAGCACCGATTGGGAAGCCCTTTCTCCCCCCAAATCAAACCAAACAAAAAATTGTATCTTTGAAGCCAGAAAGATGGTACAGCAATCAGGGGTTTAAGGTCTCCCGAGCCTTGCCAGGAGTGATTCATGAGTTAGGAGTATATCCTAAACACTGTCAGGTATGGCCCCTGGCCAAAAAATCTATTATCTCTGAGAGTCAAGTAATTCTATTTTGTGAATCTATCATCATTGAAATTTTTCTTGCTTTATAGCTTTAAACAGAATGAAGTTTAAGGACCAGAGAGAAGTTCAATGGGCTGGAGCATATACTCTGCATTCTGGAAATTTGGGTTCAGTTACTAGAACATGCAGTCATGTTCCCTGAACATCTCCAAGAGTGAACATCCCCTTCTCGGCCCCTACTACCCCCCTCTGCAAACACAGGGCTGGGAATAGTCCCTGAGCTGGGGTTCAAAAACCAGAAAAAAAAAAGGTTTAAAATAGCTACAAAAACAGGAAGTTTATTAATGAACTGTAAGTACATTTCAACATTTCAATGAACCTCATAAAAGGACAAATTTAAAGGAAACAGGCCTATTTTTTAAAATGACAGCAATTAATGCTTTCATATTCTTATGTAAAACATTTTTTCAATTCAATGGGAAACTACAGCATTAGGTTTTACTTCATATGGACTGTCTCATGTCCAATAAAGTAACAAAATATATTCCTGTACAATTGTGAAGGCCTTTTAGCCTTTATTCTGTCGAGTTTCATACTCTCAAGGCTAGCAGATAGCACAAAGTCATTCTTCTCCTGAATGGATCAATTAAACCCTTAGGGGAAAAGAAACAAATAGTAATATTTGTTTTACGATTATCATTATTGTTTTATCATTAAAACACTATCCTAAGATGAAATTACAGAACTTACCAGTACTGCATTGTTCTGAGGCAACAAGTCTCTCTGCTTGCAAAACAGAAGGGCACGATGTGTCCTCTTGGCAATGTGGCAGGCTATTGTGTGCTGCACAGCAGCGGCGATGTCTGCGGCTGAGGACAGTATCTGCCCCTTCTCAATGCCTGTGGGCAGGAGCAGGTACTTTGAGGCAAGGTCCTGGACTATATTTTTATTTAATTTGACTAATCAGAAACGTACCTTCCTCTCTTTCTTTCTTCATTATTATCTTATCAGTAACATGTTGAAGTCCAGAAAAAGAAAAATCACAATTTTTGGCACGCTGCATGGGAGGTTTGATGTCAAAGCACAGTTTATTTCCTTGTTTAGCCAAATGTTCTATGGCCTTCCCACCACTCATGGTTGAGCACTCTGGATGTTTCATTAAAGACAATCTTCTTGCTACCTAGGAAAAACAAACATGAATTTGAGGGAGTAGTAAAGTTGCACGTACTAAAACTAGAATGCAAATAAAATTAATTTTACCAAGGCAACAAAATCTGGATGCTAAAACATGCTACCCTTTCCTAATAGACTATAGCTAGTGATCAGTAAGAAAAGTGCGACTCATTCTGACAACCTGCTAGGTTATGGCCGGTCACTATCTTCCTATCTACTTCTGCTTTTCTACTGGGGATGGAAAACAGATTGAAAGGAAACAGTGACTACTCAGTGAGGGACTTCATCTAAGGACCGGCCCAGTTTCCTCCAGTCATTACAGTTGTGAGCAGCCACAGGTTATTTATTTATTTTTACCGGGGGTGGGGTGGGGGGGTAGTGTATTCTGAGCTCTGTGATTCTAAAACAAAGGCAAAAGAAATCTATCAGTGGTGTCGGCAATTGTGATATTTAATCCTGTAATTCTGTGTATCTTTAATGTCCTCAAACTGACCTTTCCATACACTCTTGTTTTGCTTTTTCATAGTTTTTGACACTTTACAAAGCACGTTTCTTACATATCTCATTTGGTTAAAAGCATAACTGTATTGACAAAGTATTTGCACCTTTATGTATTATAAAACTCCTACCATTTTATTTGGAACAGGTAAGAATCTGTTCTACAACACTATACTTCTGTTTCTTTCTTTACCACACATAAACAATTTTTCAGTCTGTAAGATTTTATTCAGAAATATTTACCTGAATGGTAGTACTACATCTATTAATACTGAATTAAAATTGAACCTCAAAGAAATATTGGAATTATTTTAAAGATTTACCTTGTCAAGCATGTCACCCGGTGCTATGTCCAAAGACTTTCCAAGAAGCAGAAAATCTGAAACTCCTCTAACTAATGCTAAGAGACAGTGTCCTCCAGAAATCAAAAGAACTAAGAAAGGAAATTCTACTTGATTCGTCAATCTAATAGTGAGTGCATGAGCCTCCATATGATGTATGGGAATGAAGGGCTTTTTAAACTGGTGTACCAGCTGTAGGCTATATGATAAACCGACTCCCAGGCTTAAAGCAAGTCCTGGTTTTATGGTAGTTGCAATTGCTGAGAGCTCATTTGGAGACACATGACTGGCCGAGAGAGCTTGTTGTACTATTCGTTCAATATTTTCTCTGTGAAGCCGTTGAGCTACTGGAGGAACAATCCCACCTGTTCTGAAAGAAATAAAGACAGCATTATGAACTTCTGGGCATGTGAACACCTGGCCAGAGAGATAGAACATCAGGTGGAGAGCCTGTCTTGCATCTGGGTTCAATTTTGGGGGGCATCCCATATGGTCCTTAGACCCCCACCAGGAGTGATCCCTGAGTGCAGAGCTAGTAACCCCTGAGCATTGCTGGGTATGGCTCCAAGACAAACAAAAATTGTAAACAACAACGAAAAAAGGGGGAAAAAGCCAGTAGGTAGTATTATTAAAGGTATATTTTCATATTAATAATTATACACCTATAAAAAGCATTTTTACATGTATAACCTTACAATGTACTTCATTGTAAGAACTCTATACCTAATAGGGAAGGGAGTAATGTCTGATTTTTCAAAAAAGCACAACAAATTTCTATGATTTTGTTTGTTGATGAGTGAAACTGTCAAAGAGAAAAAAAATGTTAGAAAATATTCTAAGGAAGCCCTTAGAACGCCACCGGTTGTGGTTCAAATTTCTCCCCTCAAAACTCCCAATTTTGTTCACTCAAGGATTCCTATCCCCTAAGAAATGCAATGTGGGTAAGCACTGCCAGAAATACCTCAGGATTTATTATGCTTGATTTTTTGTGGAGAAACGTGTACACTTAGTGATCTTAGGGCCTATTCCTGGCTCTGTGTATAGACTAACGTCTGGCGATGCTTGGGAACTGAACCAGATTCTCCAAGTGCCTTAATCCCTGTACTATATTTCCAGCCTCTTAATATGCAATATACTTGATTTTGAATTAACTTCTGGTCATTGAGCATTCGGAAACTTTTCTCTGTTGTAAATTTCCCCTCATATTTAGTAGGGCTGGAGCCATAACACAGTGGGTAGGGCATTGGACCAGAGTTCGATTCCTCTGCCCCTCTCAAAGAGCCCGGCAAGCTACTGAGAATATCTCGCCCGCATGGCAAAGTCTAGCAAGCTACGTATTCCATATGCCAAACACAGTAACAAGTCTCACAATGTTACTGGGCCTGATAGAGCAAATCGATGAACAACGGGAGGACAGCAATACAGTGATTTAGTAGTGCGGATCTTATATTGGGTGATAACTCACAATTATGAAGCTAGGATTTAGATAAGGCGGCCAGGGTGGGACTTCCCAGCAGTTGACATTTACACATTCAAATGTCTTAAGAATTCAGGAAAACCAAAAAAGCCTAAGAAACTGAGGCATAGAAATAATAGCTGTAAGTTTTGGATCATTTTTCTGATATTCCTTTTATCTGCTGTCTTCCACCACAAATTTTACTTATAGATCTATATATCACATCTTAGTAATTAAGTTAATCTTCTTACAAGGACTTTTGAGTACTTCACCTAATTAACTGTTGCCCTTTTTATTTATTATGTTACCATTTTAACTGCAGGTTTATGCAGCCTCTTTAGATAAACATTAGATATAACTTCCCCACTATCCCATGAAGCAGATGTTATATCCCCATTTTACCCATGAGAAAGGATAAGGAACTTATTCAAAGTCACAGCCAATACCAAGTACTTAAAACAGAACTAAAATGCAGTTTCGTGATTTTATAATACCAGACTTGGATTAAGGAGCTAGTTCAAAGGGCTGGAACACATGCTTTGCATGTGGGAGACCCAGGTTTGATATCCTGCACCACATGGTCCCCTATCCCAAAACAAACCAGGAAACTCCAAAAAAAAAGAAAAATAGCAGACTTTTCCATTACTCAGGTTATAAATGAATCACTTGAAAGTATATATTGTCTGTTGAATATTTTAATTATTTTGAGTTAGCTGCTACTTTAAAGTATCTGGAGATATATTACAGTAACACTCTGGGTTTCCAGTGTTATTGAAAACTCCGATGACCTAATAACATAGGTCTATACATCTTTATGGTGTCAACTAGCCGGAATTGAGTAGTAACTCTTTCAGATTTTTCTACTTTACATCCAAATCAATCATTTATGTAACTTACCTAGTGGTCCTCTGCAAACATCTGAGTTTGCCTCCTTACACCATGATTCCATGCCTTAATACAATTTATTTACGAACCAAGACAAGTTGCATGTATATAAAAATGAATAGGATCTTCCCACTCCCCCAGAGACACAGACTAGAGAGAAGTAGGGCCAAGAGTTCTTATGACTTCAGGCTGAGACCACAAAACATGAGACAGAGATAAAGCATCATGAAGGAAAATCATTAAGATCTACTGAATAGGAAATGAGCTTAGTTTCTTTTGATAACAGGATTAGTTAAGATTGAGATATTATTATGAAGTGTCTTAAAGCCAGGCTATAGGTTTTCTATAGCAGTTACTAAAATCTTTTGCACAAAAGAAATCAGTCCCAGAGAGTTACTTTCTATACATGAAAATACAAAAGCATCATTTCCATTTAAGAATCATAAACAAGAAAAATCTACTTACTTTAAATGAACTTCCGTTTGGGAATGTATTGCTTCTCCCAATACATGTCCACTGCCATCCACCACAGCAGCTGCTGTATCATCACAACTGGTCTCAATTCCCAGTACTACTCTATGAAAAAATCGTTCGCTGGGATAATATAGACTTCTTAAAAATTCATGAATTTTCCTTTTTGATGGTTTAGAAAAAACTCTTGCTGTCTTAGTCAATGTTAGCATACTTACTTTGTTTTTAAAGTCCTAAAAAGTGAATTACAGAAACAAATGTATCATTAGGAACTGATGAAAGTTACTGATATATTCAGTGAAGCAAAGTTCTGAAAGCTTAGATTCAGATTCTAGAAAAGTTTGTATAGGGCTGGAGATGGGAGTACAGCAGATACAGTGCTTGCTCCTGCACCCTATGTGGTCTCTCTAGCCCCACTAGGAGTGATTCCCTGAGCTCTTAGCCAGAAGTAAGCCCTGAGCATCATCGGGGATGAGGCCCCACAACAACAATAACAAAATCCAAAGTTTTTAAAAGTCTTTTTTGTTTTTTGTTTTTTTAAAAAAAGACTAACAACCTGTGAATAACAATGTAAATGTATATACTGTTCACTGGGGGTAGAGGGGGGACTGAAAAATTAAGATTTAATTTTTGTTTAAAGTATTATTACTTTCACGCTGTTTTTACCAAGATCTTTATTCTTTACAGTAGATGTTTCATTAGAATACATGCAGGGAAAGTTCTCGAGAAAGAACTATTTATTTTTTGATAAGATGAAGTTGAAAGTGATTTTTTCAAATTATTTTTTTATTTCTTGAAAGTATTTTTTTTAAAACAAACTGAACAATGAGGGCAAAATGAAACATCCATTTGATGAAAACCCCTCTTAATATAAAATTTTTCCATAATTTCACCATTTAGTTCAAAACTAAATTTCACATAAATTCAAGATTTAGCAATCCTGGTTGAAAGCAAGTGGTCTATAAAGTTCATCTTAAAGGAACCACATCTGGGTTGGGTTGGAGAGACAGTACAATAGGTAGGGAGCTTTCGTTACATGCAGCCACCCCAGGTTCTATTCTCAGCACCCTTTATGGTCTCTGAGGGCTGCCAGGATAGAGGCACAAAGAATTTAGCCCTCCTCGGCAAAGGTGAGAGTGGCAAAAAAAAAAAAAAAAGCCCACACTTGTAGTACTATTTCATCCACTAGTCACAATATTTCGAATCACTATTATTACTATTTTTGCAGTGCCAGGCTCGAGCCCAGGACCTCACACACGCAAGTAAGTACTCGACCGCTGAGTGACATCCAGAGCCCTGAGTAATTTAATCACCACTGACCAGAATTGGGGGGTGGGGGGAGAGCATAGATTTATCAAGTCGTTCTCCCCCGCCAACCACCCCCGCAAAAAACCCAAACCTAAACAATTAAAGCCCATCACTCAAGCAGTCTGGTATTTATTTCCTAAGTGCCACATGTGCAACTTCATGGCCCCTATCACCAGCTCTTGGAGTTTTGTGGATGTTTCTCCACAGCGTGGAACAACACGGAGAAAAAGCAAATAAACAGAGGACCTTTTATTGTTCCAGTGGGGCCGAGGGGATCCAGGGTTTAGAGACCAAGGCTCTCATGCAGGGGCAAAGGGCAGCTGCGGGGAGAACACCCCAGAAAGACACACACCAGGGAATTAAACCTGCAGTTGTTAATTCCAAGCGTGGCCAAGCACCTTTCTTGCAGACCAAAAAAAAAAAGAAAAACTGAGCCCAGGGAATGAGCCAGAGCTGATCTGTGCTCTAAAGTCAGAAGCCCAGATGGGATCCTTTTTTCCGGACGTGCAAAAGCATCAGCTACGATTAGGGGGTGAACAATTTCACCCACCTGCCTGGGCGTAACGTCCCCTTTCCCTAGCAGAGACGCCCGGGGATGCCCTTGGCTAAGCCCAGTCCGAAACGGCGCGCGGAAACGACGTCATCCCCGGGCGCCCGCGCCTGCCGGCTTGACCCCGGGGGCGTTGCCCCGGGAGTCGCGGTAAACCGGCGCGCCGTCTTTGCCGCGGACCCGGTGGCGCGCCTGCAGTTGTCCTCCAAAATTTGTAAGTAACGAGACCGAGACTAGGGCAGGTGGCTAGGGATGGATCCCGCGGAGGCCGAACGCGTTTATCCGACCACTGAGCTTTAAGTTGCAAACAGTAACGCTCTATTAAAAGCAAGAAATAAAAAGTTCCTCGCCTTTGTCTAGACGTTGGACACTACTGTGCGAAAGTGAGGTAGTTTGTTATCCCGTTTCAGAAGAATGATCGCCGGATTTAACCTGAGATACTTAGTGCTTTCACAGTGGAAACATGCGCCCCCCCCACCCCCCCATCCCATCCATCACGTAACCCCTTGCCACACCTTCACTCCCACCCCGGGACCTATGGCAGAGTTTGCGGCTCCTTGGGCCACTTTCCCCTGTACTTTAGGGGCCGGTAAGCACATCCCATACGCGGAGTATGGAACTTTGCTTGCTCTGTGGACAACCTATGGCACAGCGTGCATTTTTCCTTCTTTTGACCTTTTTTTTTTTTTGCTTTTTCGGTCACACCCGGCGATGCACAGGGGTTACTCCTGGTTCTGCACTCAGGAATCACCCCTGGCGGTGCTCAGGGGAGCATATGGGACGCTGGGAATCGAACCCAGGTCGGCTGCGTGCAAGGCAAACGCCCTTGTGTACCTGCTGTGCTATTGCTCCAGCCCCTCTTTTGATCTTTTAAAATTGTTGTCCATGCTTGTTGACGTTCTTGTAATTCGTTTTTTCCAGGCAACTTTTTCTTGTTCCCTGCTCGATTTTAACCTTTTGTTGAGTCTTAAATCTGTGCCTGGCAGGCGGGAAGCTCTTGGTGTACAAGATGAGTGAGTCACGGGAAGTCATAGTTGTAATATAAAGGCAGACATAATTCATAGGTACCAGAATGTTGAGATTTGAGGTTTTTTTTTTATTAAATTGAATAATTGTGACATACAGTTTCAAAGTTGTGCAGATTGGGTTTCAGTCATAGAATATTTCGTCACTGGTCCTTCACCAGTGTACACTTTCCACCACCAATGTCCCCAGTTTCCCTCCTGCCCCCCCACCCCCCAAGCCTATCTCTGTGGGAGGTACTTTTCTTCTTGCTCTCTCTTTCCTTTTGGGCATTATGGCTTGCAATACAGGTACTAAAAGTGATCATGTTTGTCCCTTTATCTACTTTCAGCACTCAGTTCTTGTTCTGTGTGATCTGCGCAGCCACCAGGAAAAATAAAGGCATGAAATTTGCACATAAATAGACGGACATGTAGAGTATATGCTGAATGAAATGAGGCCGAGGGAGAGGGATAGACCTGGAATGATTGAACTCATGTATAGTATATAAAAACATAGTATGAGACCAATATCCAAGGACAGTGAAATGAGGGCCTGGAGGAATGGTGCATGGTTGGAAGCAGGCCATAAGAGTGGTGGGGAGAGAGCAGCAAGGATAGAAAAGGGACCGCTATGACAGTGATCGTTGGATTTGGGCTCTATTTTTTTGTGTATAGTACTGGCCACCTGCAGTGGTGCTGGGAAGGGATAGGAGGACCCTAGGGCCACTCCCTGTGATGTGGCAGGAATGCTTATTAGGCGCAGAGAAGGGTCTTAGTTTCTTGCTTGAGCCACCAGGGCCACACCAGGTGCTGGGGTTGGGGACCTAAAGGGTCTTGCACATGCTAAGCTTATACCCTACCACTATAACTATCTCCCTAATGCCCCCTCCCTTGCCCATATTTTTGTGGCACTTATTTTACTAATGTGTCATTTGTGTAACAGCAATAACCATGATTAATAATAGAGGGATATTCCATGTCAGCCAGTTATTATGCTTCATTGTCCCAGCAATACTATGAGGTTTTTGGTGTCTTCATTTAACCAGACAGTTAATTTGCAGGTGACATAGATTTGTGTAGAGCTGAAAACAGAATGGCTCCAATTGGCTCTGGGTTCTATTTTATGAGCCACTAGAAGATGAAAATAGCTCCTTTCCCCACTGGGATGCATCATTTACTCAAAAGAGGGAATAAAAGGAAGAAATTTTAGATCTAAAGGTTAGGAAAAAATTAGTCAATTTTAATGGCATGTGATAGGTTTTCTCTTGGAAAATCTATTGGATTCTAGACTGAACATAAACCTTTACCCAGATGGTTTTGTTCTTATGATTTGAATTGTTTAGCAATTGTGTCTCAATGCCCTTCCATGCTGTTGTTGCCCTGGTAGTGTATGCTGGCACCATTGGTAGCATCCTTGTGTAGGTAAATTTTCCAGACTGTGTTATATCCATGCTGCAGTATGTGAAAATGCAGCTTTAGGACACAAGAAAGGATTTCTCCCCTCTCTTGCTTAAATAGAAATGGCATTTTCAGTGATCCTGTATGTTTGACAAGTGAAAGTATACATCTTTTCATTCTTCATTGTGCTATAAGAGACATGTTATTGGGGGAAAGGTATGTATGCTCTCTGGGGGTTTTTTAGGATTTCATGCAAACCATATTGGGTGGTGGTACCACTAATGTGTATTCTCAACAAAAATCATCTATTTCTTCACTTTGATTTAAAAATTCCAACACAATACACTTATTTTATCTATTTTCCTTAACTTTACTAAATTTATAAACTTTAGGGAAAAATTTTATCTAGAAGAACCTTCATAATTCTTGTTGCCTAATTATGTCTCACCTAATGATTTTTATTTTCACCTCTGATCTATTTTGTGTCCCCTGTGTTAGAAACTTTACTCTTGGTTAAGGATAAAAGGTAAGATTCAGTTGCTATTCTTAAGAATCAAGTCTTGTGAAAAGTAGATACTGAGAAATGGTAGTTACTTACGGGTATATAACTTGCCAGATACCTCTATAGCATACTAGGGCTTCAGTGTGATTCCTGGGTTACAACCTCTGATGATTTTATAGGTCTGATAATGGTTTACCAAAGTATCTAGACTCTAGGGTACTGAGCCATATGCCTAAGAAATTGCATGTAAAGTCATAATATTAATGTATTCATAATGAGAAATGCCATGGTGAAGGAGTTAGGATAATTGAACTTACTGGTCCTGACCATCTCCTTTTGCCAAGTTATAGCAAATGTCATGCCAGATCAATATTATGATTAGAAGATGGGCATATAAGTACTGGAAGCAATAAAAGAATTTATGCTTTAATTGAGTCGTTTCATGCCTACTGCATCCTTTACACTTACCTGTCTTATTTTTTATAGGCTGAATTGCTTTATGCATTACATTTCTCCTTTGCTTTTCATTTCTTTGCTGACATGTTTTATATTGTACAAGTTTACATTTTATAACAATATCAACAAGTTTATATTGTACAAGCCATTTCTAAAATGTTTTCATCTTCAGTTGAAACCTTGTCATTAAACCATAACTATTTCATTTTCCCTTCAACCCCTTACAACTACCATTGTTCTTATGACTCATTAATCTAGATCGATAAGTGGGATCATATATTTGTCTTTAAACTTTTTTGATTTTTAATGTTCTATTTTGACAGGCATTTTCCCCTTAGCATTTGTCTTTATGGTTCATCTAGTGTTGCAGCATATTTCAGAATTTCCTACCTTTTAAAGGTGGAATATTTTAAGGGATAGGGAGTTGGCTCAGAGGTATAACACTTATTTGGCTCACATATGTGAAGTCCTGGGTTCAAATGTGGTGAAGTCCCTGACACAGTTTAAAAAAAAAAAAAACAAACCCAAAACAACAACAAAACCCCCAAATAATAAAGCCGAGTATTTCTGGTCTGGAGAAATAGTACTTAACTTGCCTTGCATGTAGTTGATAAGGCTCAGTCCCCAGCACCACATAGGATCTCGCAAGCATCACCAGAAATGATCCCTGAGTAGAGCCAGAAACAGCTCCTGAGTACCATATATATTGCCTGAATTCCCTCTGCTGCCCCCCCCCCCCCCGGTTTATTTCTTCATCTATCAAAAAACACAGGTTGCTTCTATATGTGAAGAATGCTGAAATGGTATGGGTGCTTTCACTTCCTTTGGATATATGCTCAGAAGGAAAATTATTGGATCATATAATTAAGGGACTGCCACACTCTGATGGTCTTAATTTTCAAATGTGTGGGGTCTATATGTGTTGGACAGGGGAGGGAAATAATCTCTTTGTTGCTCGCATATATTCCCTATAATTGTCAAGTGTATAATAGAAGCATGATTTAAAAATTTAAATGTTTCAAACATGCATCACTGTATTAGTTTCATACTATACTATAGTTTCATACTATACTATTAGATACTATATTGCATACTGTATTTTCTTGAGCAGCTGATAAATCTTAAGCCTCTGTTCCCATTAACAAATTATGAAATTATGGGGTTAGAGAGACAGTATAAGAAAGGGACCCTCCTTCACTGCTGGTGGGAATGCCGACTGGTTCAGCCCTTTTGGAAAACAGTATGAACGATTCTCAAAAAATTAGAAATTGAGCTCCCATTTGACCCAGCAGTACCACTCCTGGGAATATATCCCAGAGAGGCAAAAAAGTATAGTCGAAGTGGTATCTGCACTTGTTTGTTCATTGCAGCACTCATTACAATATCCAGAATCTGGAAAAAACCTGAGTGCCTGAGAACAGTGGTTAAAGAAACTTTGGTACATCTACACAATGGAGTACTATGTAGCTGTTAGAAAAGATGAAATCATGGAATTTACATACAAGTGGTACTACATGGAAAGTATCATGCTAAGCGAAATGAGTCAGAAAGAGAGGGATAGATATAGAAAGATTGCATTCATCTGGGGAACATAAAGTAACAAAATAGGAGACTAACACCCAAGAATAGCCGAGATAAGTACCAGGAGGTTTGGAGGCTGGTCACACATGCTAGGGGAAAAGACAGCTCAGATAGAGAAGGGAGCACCAAATAAAGGGTATTGGGAGGATCCTCCCAGGATGGGAGAAGCATGCTGAAAGTAGACTATAGACCGAACATGATTGCCACTCAATGCCTCTTTTGCAAACCACAGCTCCCAAAAGGAGAGAGAGAAAAGGGAATGCCCTGCCAGAGACAGAATAGGGTGGGGGGATGGGGGTGGGAGGGATACTGGGATTCGTAGTGGTGGAATATGGGCACTGGTGGAGGGATGGGTACTTAATCATTGTATAATTGAAACCCAAGCACAAAAATTTGTACATCTACAACTGTACCTCTCGGTTTGTCACTAATAAAAATTCAAAGAGAGAGAGAGAGCGAGCGAGAGAGAGAGAGAGAGATAGAGAGAGAGACAGTATAGGGGTAGATTGGTAACCTTGTAAATGGTTGACCCGGGTTTGATCCCTGGTATCTCATATGATCGTCCCCTGAGCCCCTCCAGGAGTGAACCCTGATGCAGTGCCAGGAGTAAGCTCTCAATACAGCAAGGTATGGCCCCCAAACCAAAAAAAGTCAGAAATTTAAAACACTACACAATCCTCTTATAGTTGGGATTGGAGCAATAGCACAGCAGGTAGGGCGTTTGCCTTGCATGCGGCCACCCTGGGTTCGAATCCCAGCATCCCATTTGGCCCCCTGAGCACCGCCAGGAGTAATTCCTGAGTGCAGAGTTAGGAGTAACCCCTGTGCATCGCCAGGCGTGACCCAAAACAAAACAAACAAACAAAAAATTCCTCTTGTGGCTTAAAAATAGTTCATTTTTTCTTTATAGTTTAAAAGGCTTATTCTGTAATCTAATCTCTTTACTATAGTTTTTATAATTGAGAATTTTAAAATCAATATAATTTTTAAATTATGCATTTACAGTGTTACTGTGGGCTGAAGCGATAGCACAGCGGGTAGGGCGTTTCCCTTGCACGCAGCCTGCCCGGCAGAGCCAGGTTCGATTCCTTCGCCCCTCTTGGAGAGCCCGGCAAGCTACTGAGAGTATCTCGCCCGCACGGCAAAGCCTGTCAAGCTACCCATGTCGTATTCTATATGCCAGACACAGTAACAAGAAGTCTCACAATAGAGACGTTACTGGGCCTGCTCAAGCATTTACAGTGAAAAATACTGTGATAAACTTAGCTTTTGGGTAAACTTCAAATTATGTAAAATTTGAAATTTAGAAATTTAAGTTGAGACACTTATACAGGTAATTAATGATAATCATTAGCTATTTATCAGTTGTGAACAAATGACTCAAGAGTGGAATGAATTACCTACTAGTATACTCGCGTCCCAACTCTTCTTTCTCCTACCTGTTCCCTTGTTCTTTATTCTCAAGGCTAATGAGTAACCTTTAGAAAACACCAAGATCTCTTTCATCTTCTGTGTAAAGCTCTCCGATGGCTTTGTCAAGCTTAGAATAAAATCTGCTCATTATCTTGGCCAATAAAGGTTTATATGAATTTGTCTCCACCTTTTTTTCTCTGACCTCATTTACAACCATTCTCCTCTTCCTTGCTATATTACTACCGAGACACTTGCTATCTTGTTTTTACTTAAGCACAGAACCTTACTCCTCATTACCCTTCCTGTAAAGTCTCTTTCCATAGAACTTTATATTTCTTGCTCCTTTACATTCACAAAAATCTGTGTCCAAATGTAAAAATTGTGTCCACTTTTCTTTTTTAACATGGCATCTCTCTCTATAGGAAATAACACGTTTATTTGCTCACTGTTTTCCAAGTATATAAAGACAAAGTTTTATTTTCTTCGCAAGTTGTATCCATAATCCCTAACATAATAACTACAAGAGAACAGGCCTTCAACTATCTACCAATAAGTACTTTTAAGACACAGAAGGATGAAAGTGGGCCTGTACCAGAGGTAGATTTCTACCTCAGAAATCTGTGCAAAAAACCCTTTTGAGATAACACTGAAAGGAAGAAAAATAAGGAATATTTTTCATTTTATACATTCAGCTTTAAAAAAATAAACTTAGAAAATTTAAGTGTTGCTTTGATTAATGAACCCAAAAAACTTTTGCAAGAATCTTACATCAAAGAAAAGTTTTATTATACTAAAAATACATGGGAAAAGGACAAACATACAAAGGCATTATGATATAACTGATTTCTAATTGTAGTACTTTTGAAATACAAAACAATGATCAATACCACTCCCCCCAACAGTTAGTTTATCGAAACAAATTGATTTTTAAGTTGGTCTATCTCTTTGCACTCAATTTTATACATTTTAAGAATTGTTCTATTTTTAAGTTTCATTCCGTATCAGAACTTATTTTTAACTTGTATTAGTTTTGAAATAGAATGTATAGTGTTTTGGTAATTAATGTCAACAATGATAAGAAGCTTTTCCAAGTCATAAGAATTCAGTATGTGCTGCTTTGGAAAAGATTGCCATTTTGGATTATTTAAACTAAGACTCAATGAAAGTCAAATGTTACTGTGCAAAATGTCAGGGTGAGAGCAAGAGCTAAGATGCTGATATGTTTAGTGAAAACCTGCTATAAAGTTTTTATTGTTTACTGTGATATAATTGCTAAAAAAGTAGTTTCTGCCAACCATAGGTTGTCTATAATAGAATTCATTTTATATTACCTTCTTAAGGAATCATAGATCTTAACAAATAGATGACTTAACCAAATAAACTGAAGTTTAAGTTATCCTGTATATTAGTGGTTTGAAATCAATGTTCTGAATTAGCTTTATGCATCTGAAGTGGCAGCAGAACCCCATGTTGTTCCAAAATGAGAAGGCTGATAATAGGCTATTTGTAATATGCCTATCTCTTATCAATTATCAGACATAAAGGTGGACATTCACCAACTCAGTAACTTAATAAATGTAAAAATGACCTTATCGATCAACACACAATGTTGAGCCAGCGAAACCAAAAATGTAAAAAAAAGTATATTCATAAGGTATAAAACTGACTTGTACAAACAAGATGGGCTATGTCCTCTTAGGTCTAAACACAGAATATGTATGGCAATTAAAAAAATCTATAATAAACTTTGTATAAAGATGATTCTGGTTTACATATCTGCTTAAATGGACCATGACTAATTAGAAATTTTCTTCTAACATAATAACCATTCCTTATGAGCTAAGCTAGTCCTGGTTTCTTTTAAATCTCTCATTTCCTTGAACTTCTCTAATTAATAAGCTGGGCCTGCCCAGCTTACCTACATAAAGTCTCTCTTCAGAAATAGAACAGCTGCATTAAACGAGGTACCCTTTAGTACAAATCTGCACTTCAAACAGCATATGAAGGACCAGCAACTGGCCTCTAATGTAAATACCTCTTATTTTCACATTATCAGAGAAAGAGTGCCGTTTACTAACTACCTTTCCTTATAGGAAACAGTAGCTGAAAAAAACAATTTTTGTTCCGTTTCAGAACATTTCAATACTTATTAATTCCAAAGATCCGAACGCCATGTAGCTGTGGCATTTTGGGAATTAGCACACTCAGGAGAGAAGCAGTATTTAGGATGAAATGAGTTGAATCATATTTCGTATAGAAACTTGCCAGAAAATATCTGTAGAAATAAAAGTGAATATAACATCTGAAAATGAATGAAATTACTCAGAATTTTTTTAAAAGAAAAAAAGCACTAAGGCAAATACTTAAAAGCAGAACACTTAAAACAAGCACTTAAAACAAGAGGAAAAGTTCTATTTTGAGGGACCTAATTTAGTTTGTGAATTGAACAATTTGTTTAGGGGCCAGAGAGATACTAAAGCAAGTAAGGGTCTACCTTGCACACAATGACATGGGTTCGATCCCCAGCAATATATATGGGCCCCTGAGCTCTGCTAGGAGTGATCCTTGAGCACAAAACCTGAAGTAAGTCCTGAGTACAGCTGTGGGTGACCCAAAAACAAATTTTTCTTTTTTTTGCTTATGGATCAATATTGCATGTTTTCCATTTGTCAAATATGGCAAATTTAATAAAACTTTTTTCTATTAAGCATTCTTTAGAGTAAAGGGTTTTGAAATTAATTGTAGTTTTGTATTTGTTTTTGAAGAGAAAATCCAGATCTAAAACATTCACCATATTTTCAAGTTTGCAACCCACCAAAATGTTATGAATTACTGATGTGAAGCTATTAAAAAAATGAGTTTTAGTGCATTAGTACAATTTAGTGTCTTTGAAAACAAAACAAAACCAAATACTTGATCACCTTTTGATGTTCATTTCCATATTGTAGTTTAACAAGATTACAACCAGTTTAACTGGAAAGCCATTGTAGAATTCCAGCAGTTTTGCTTTAACTGAATATAAATGCAAATTCAAAAATACACAACACCTGAGAATTTGTTTTAACAAGCCTAAGCAATTAAGATCATTAGTCAAGTAAAACCTAGCTTTACATAAGGGTATAGACACATCATCTGACTACTAAAAGACATTTTGATATAAGATGTAAAGAATAATATATATATATATCTTGATTATAACTAAGAAATTAAATTTGTATATGGATGCTTATCTAATATTACTTTTAGAGTTTTATAGTATTCTAATATCTATACTTAGAAAAATACTCCAACATTCTTTCCTAAATTACTGTCATACATATCTCGTGTAACAGGGTTAGAACAACTATTTTCAAGTATGTCTAAAGTGTCAGAGAGCTGTATACAGCTAATTTTAAAATCAGCTTGACTAAAAACTTCTATGATATATTACCTCACCTATTTTACATACTAGTCAGAAAATCACATTCCTAATCTACAAATATTTTCTTCCTACTTTCACATACTTGAACTGGTTTTATATTTCCTCCAAAATAGGATGCTCATCTCATTTCCTATCACCATTATGGGTTTATTAGATAAATTATAGATGATTTTATGTGTTAAAAGCAACAATTTTCTTGGAATGGCTGCTCATTATCATATCCTAAGATCCTTTTAATGAAAACCCAATTAATGAAAACCAATTAATATGAAAATCACTTGACTAATATAAACTTAACTAACCCTCAAAGGGTATGCAAGATTCAGATGGGAAAGAGTGTGGCAGAAAGCTAGAAGTCTAAGGCATAATCTGGTACCTTGACTCTAAGACCTTGACCACAGCAAATTACTTGGGTCTGTTTCTTTTTCTATTTTTGGGGCTGGGGGGCAAATGTGTGATGTTCAGGGCTTACTCTTGGTGGTGCTCTGGGACCTTATGGAATGCCAGGATCAAATTTGGGCTGATATACAGCCTTACCCACTGTACTACTGCTCTGGCCCCAGCTTGAGTCTGTTTCTTTATTTAAAAATCTGGGATAACATTGCATACCCATCCTGCCTGACAAATATTCAAGTTAGAAAATGTGAAAGCACTGGAAAGTATGTTATATAGACAGCTTTAGTGCTATGTCTTCAGCTATATAAGGAATTTAATCCCAGAATATTAGAAACTCTGTGGGTCAGAAACAGTATTTTTATTAAAATGAATGTAGTATACAAGTACATCTTAGTTGGTCTGGTTTTTGTCTATTATTACTGAAAATTCAGTTTATGTTGGGGCTGGAGAGACAGTACAGTGGGTAAGGTGCTTGCCTTCCATGCAGCTGACCTGGGTTCAATCCCAGCACCAAAAATGGTCCCTTGAGTCCTGCTAGGAGTGATCCCTCAGCAGAGTCAGGAGTAAGCTCTAAGTAACGGTGTGGTCAAAAAACAACTAAAAAAGACATGAGAGGTATGAAATGAAATCCTTAACATTTTATTGATGATGAAACTGAAAATAGGGTAACATATTTAGAAAATAGGACCTAAAAGCTAAATTTATAAGTGTTAAAATTCTACTATTCTTGTTACTCTTGTTAGATCATACAAATAATTGTTACTTTGACATTAATTTTATATGGAGCTAGATCACTTAATTTTTTTAAAAGTACTATAAATATAATTTTAAACTCCACAATTTTATTTTTAATTTGAAAATACCTTTCTCTATCTGAATATCTAGTCTAAACGTACCTTCCATAGCTCCAGTTTAAAGAATTCTAATGCTTCCAAGTGTCTTTCCAGCTAGTCTATACTGCACTGATTCTATCTTGGATATATTTATGAAATCTAAGCTCTATCTATACAAATATAAAATATCTTTCGTATGCAAGAAACTTTACTGATTGTGGAATTCAAAGCATTCCACTTATGAATTCTTTGCAGAAATAAAATACCTTAACAACACAGAAATTTTAAAAAGTGGCAAAAAATGAAGAATCTACAACAATTGCATATGGGAATTCAAAGCAACATTACTGAAATGTGGGTGCTAAACACCTTACTGAGGAGGGAGGATTTAAATCTGGCAAGAACTCCAGATAGATAAGAATAGAGAAGGCATTTCAGATAGAAAATGTTTGGACAAAAGCATAGAAATATGAAGTATTCAAGAAATGCTTATGAGCTTGATCAAGTTGGAACTGAATGAGGACAAAATATTGATATAGGGATTGGGGAGATAGTATAGGGGTTAAAGTGCATTCCTTGCATGTGGCTGATCCTTAGCACTACATCACTGCTAGATGCAGCCGACCCAGTTGGTTAAAAATCACTGGGGAAAAAACCCCAAGTCACAAAAGAATTCGGGGCCCAGAAAGACAGTACAGGTAATGCTTGTTTTACATGCCACTAACCCTTGGCACTGCACATGGTGCTCTGACTACCACCAGAAGTGGAACTCTGAGCACAGAGACAGGAGTAGCCCCTGAGCACATCACATATGGCCCAGACCTTCCTCCTCCCGATCAAAAAATTTCATAAGAAAAAACAAGGTAGGACTCCTCTTGTGGAGGGCACCAAATATCAGGTATTAGCAAGCAATTTAGATACCAAATACAAGGTAAGATGCTTTACACATAGCTATTTCATTTATTCCTCATATCAGTGTAAGTTTAATTGACTAGAATTTTTAATGAGCAAATCAAGCGAACAAGAGGATTCACTCTCCATGCTATAAGGAAAGTCTAATCTCTCTTTCCTTTAAACCATATTGATCTCTCCCTGAGTGTTTGAACCCCTAAATGAGGTACGTGGTCACGTAGTGTTTCTGAATCATCCATATCCTGTAAAAAGGGTTTAGGAAGATTGACCAGATAATGGCAAATGGAATATGATTATGTTTTTAGTTTTCTGTAAGAAACTAAAGATCAAGAACAAGAATATAATTAACTTATACATCCTAGAATGTCTAGGCATGCCTTACGATATTGTTGTTGGTATATATATTGGCTGAAGTAAAAACTGATGTATTGCCATTTATTTTGTTAAAAACTTGCTTCTATTTTATACTTTTTCTGAGATAGGCTATTATTGAGGTTTTCAATAAAATACGGTTTTTAATTAAAATTTCCTCTAATAAAATTCACTCAAATTGCTCAAGCCAATTTTGTTTCTACCTAAAAATTTCCATCACTTACAGTATTATTGGAGAAATTGTGAAAAACTTCCGTGAAGATGTAAACTGTACTCCATAGTCCAGCTGTTCCCAGTGAGTTAGGAGCCTTGCTTTACCCTGATCAGGAGTTTCAAAAGGTGTCCCTTTTACTGCATGCAAAAATACATACATCCCCTGGAAAACGAAGACGGAATATAATCAATACTAATTCAAAATTATATTTTTCAGTATTAAAATCATTTCAGACCATGACCTACTGTGATTTCACTTAATAGTTCAAGTTTTAAGCTTACATATTGGGAAATGCTGTGGCCAGTTTTTACAGTTAAATCAAAGTTCTGGGGGTATTATTTAATGAAAACCATGATCAGATCGATTCAAGGTTACCTGTTTTTACCTCTTATTAAGTTGAAAATAAACAATATCATTGTACTTTTACATTTAAGTTTTTAAACTTTTTTTTATCCCCTTTTTGGGTCACATCCGTGATGCATGCACAGGGGTTACTCCTGGCTCTGTACTCAGGAATTACTCCTGGCAGTGCTCGGGGCCCATATGGGATGCTATGAATTGAACCTGGGTTGGCAGCGTGCAAGGCAAACGCCCTATCCACTGTGCTATCGCTCCAGCCTCAAGTTTTCAAACATTTTATTATGCAGTAGAATTACCTTTTCCCCAATGTGTTTTATTCACTTTTAAATTAGTAAATATAATACTTGTAAAATTATAAAAAAACATACAAGTTGGGGCTAGAGCAATAGCACTGCGGGTAGGGTCTTGCACACGACCAACCTGGGTTCAATTCCCAGCATCCCATATGGTCCCCTGAGCACCACTAGGAGTAATTCCTGAGTGCATGAGCCAGGAGTAATCCCTGTGCAATGCTGGGTGTGACCCAAAAAGCAAAAAATCAAAAACAAAAGCAAAACATACAAAAAAATCAAAAACAAGCAAAATACCCAAAACATGCAAGTTGATAAATAAAATGTCACATAAAAAGTTTTACAAATACTAGTTTTCTTTCAAAGTAACAGAAGCAATCTGATGTAGAGGGCAGTGTTCAATTTCGTTTGCTTTAAAAATCACCATTGTGTTTTAAACAGGGTTTCTTTTCAAATAATTTTTTTAAACCTAAAATACATCATTAAAAGCATTTTGTTCATAACATGTTTAAACATTTGATTTTATGATTATGAGGAAAAAGCAATGTATAGTAGGCTTGGTTTCCTTGCAGTTATGATGTTCACTCAGATCCACTGGTGATACTTAATGTCAGAATCATTATGGAGGTATTGGTAAAAGAATAATGTCTTAAATATTATCATGAAGGTTTTTCCCACTAGAAATTTTGAGATATCATACTTCTTACTTCAATTGTGAATAAACCAATAAAAAGCAAAAAATAATTGCTTGAGATTTTTTATTACTATAAACATTTAAGAGTTCTTTTGAAAGCTATCCACTTCTTAAGTTAATCCATTAGGTAATTTAAAAGTTAAGCTGCAATGACACCTAAACTATAGAGGAGTCGATTTATGTTCAGCTAAATTTAAATCAACAGATGTTTAATAAGTGACATATACAGAAGAAACACAGGAAATGTATGCATATATAAAATTGACAAGAAGTGACATATATAGAAGAGACACAGGATATGTATACATATATAAAATTGACAAGCTATGTCCCACCTCTAAAGAGTTTGATTTTATATGAATGTTTTTTTTTAAAAAGTCATAATTAGAATGTAGGGCACAAACTTTTCAAAGGTACAATTGGATTACTCAGGAAATGTGGAGAGAAAGGTTCATTGCTATGGCAAAAGCCTTGATGCTACCTTGTACCTTGTGAAATACGTGATTTTTGACAGTTCCTCATTAATAGTAATTAACCGTCTATATGCTTTTATAAAATCTTATTGAAAATAGTTTTAGTATAGCCGGGTTCGATTCCTCTGCTCCTCTCGGAGAGCCAGATAAGCTACTGAGAGTATCTCGCCGGCACAGCAAAGCCTGGCAAGCTACCAGTGATGTATTCCATATGCCAAACACAGTAACAAGTCTCACAATGGAGACATTACTGGGCCCACTTGAGCAAATCCATGAACAATGGGAGGACAGTGCTATAGTGCTACAATATATTGTGTGTGGGCATTGTTTGCATGTTTGTTTTCCCATTAGCTTAAATGTCTCAGGATGAGGGCTAATACACAGCAAGTATTATCTAACAATGATCAAGACAAGATGAAGTTGTGCTAAGGAGTGTTTATTCTGTAACACAAGGAAACACTTCATATACCTTTTAAGGAGACATGAGATAGAAATTGTATGTTTTCAAATTCCCAAGAGTATATGTATGTCTAAAGTTAGATCATTTATGAGCTAGAATCTAATAATCCTCTTGCTACTTCCTCTAAATACATACTGTTATGTTCAGAGTATGTTTGTTTATTTTCTGTGAAAAAAGAATAATAGGCTAGAGTGTTCAATGGGCTGAGCACATGCTTCGCATTCAGTTTACTAGGTTACAGCCTGCATCACATGGTCTCCTGAACACCTCCAGCACTTCCAAAACAAAACAAAAAAGGGCTCGAGATACTATTCCTCATGGGTAGTAAATATTTACTTGATCAAAATAAAAAGAATTTTCATTAAATTTAAAAACTTGATTAAGACTTTTAGTATTTCTGAGTAAACTAAATAAAAACAAACACTGTATATTTCTAATATCTAGATTGGAAAGGCAAAGACAGTATTTTTTTCTATCATGGATAATTAGATTTGTTTTTCCATATTTAAAATTGTTCAGTATCAAGGCTGGGATGATGGGAAGAATGGTATGCTTTGCATATGGGAGCCCTGGGTTTGAGCTTGTACTGCATCCAATGTGGCCCAAGAGGGAAAAAAAATATAAATGTGTTTAGTATCTACTTCACATTTAATTGGTTTACTGTAGATTATCTTCAAAAGAAATTTAATTCTGGAGTCATATAATTGCTACATCTATGGCTGGCTAGTTAAGTTTTTAGTGTGGTGAATTACTAACTCAGAAGTTTGTTACCCCAGATGTAGTCAGTTTTCTGTACTTTGTTGATGGCCATATATCCTACTTCAGTCTCAGCCATATAACTTGAAAACATGACAGAGAATGATCCTATAGTACCTTTAATATATGAGCCATAGGAGAAGGGAAATTACAATACAATACAGGCTGTGAGCTGTATCGTAATAATGAGCACTGAAATAGGTCTTTAGCGATACTGACATTAAAAAATAAGATAAGGGGACCATAGCGATAGTACAGTGGGGAGGGTACTTGCCTTGCACGTAACTGACATTGATTCAATCCCTGGTATGGCATATGGTCCCCTGAGCACCACCAGGAGTAATTACTGAGTGCAAAGCTAGGAGTAATCCCTGAGCATTGCTGGGTACGGCCCCCAAACCAAAATAAAACAGATAAACTAATAAAAAAACATGCCAAACATTAAGACTGTAGTGTGAGAATTTTATAACTTCCTGGAGGAGTACTTGACTAAGATTTTGCTGACAATAGGTGTTGGCCCTGTAGAGCAGAAAGGAAGCAGGGGTATTAAAATAATGGGAAAGTCAAAGCCAAAGTATAAAGAGTAAAATAATGTGCACCGGTGGTGGGAAATATACAATGGTAGAGGGATGGGTGTTGGAATATTATTGACTGAAAATGATCATGAACAGTTTGTAACTGCATTCAATTAATTAAAAAAAAAGAGGTGATGTGCATTATCATCATAGTTTGTTTGGAACGGGATCCCTCTCCTGCCTATGCACTGTGGGGTGAAGAGTGTAACTTGAGCAGACATGAATTTAATTAAAAAAAAAAAATAGCAGTCTGCCAAGTAGGGTTGGAGAGTAGATTCCAGGAACAATATGAAGATACTTTGATAGAATAATCTTCTGGTTGGGAGTGGGGGAGAAAATAAAGATATACATTGATAGCAGTGCAAATTGGGAGCAAGGTAAATGATAGTAAAATGTAGCATGAACAGGGCTATGACTTCATAGATGTGACTACAAAGGAAAAGAAGAAGTTATTCTAAAATGAGAGAAACCATGCTAGTTTGCATTGACAGTCCTGCCCAACACCCATTATTTTAGAGGTATTAATACTAGAATTCTCTTTTACTCTAAGACACTCTTGGTTTTGATGATAGAGTAATATTAATTATCTTTGACACTGAGCTATCTGGCCTTGCTTGCTGCGCAGACAATGGAGTCTCTGGAATAACTGGATTAAAGTCAGAGAAACAGATTGTAGGTTAAGAGGAACAGACCAGGAATTAGAAGAGTCCAATTTATACTTATAGGTTTTAAGGTACAAAGTGATCTGGTATTGTAATGTGGGCATCTTCATTGCAGAGGGAGAAAGTGACACTGTGGATAGAGCACATAATCTAGATAGAACATATGCCACAGAAAGAATGAAGAAATGAACTTTAGGAAGCAACAATATTTAATAGAGACAATGAAAGAAACGTGTGCCAAAGAAAATGAAAAAACAAAAATGAAAAAGTTAGCTAGAAAAAAGTGATCCTATGAAAGCCAAAAGAAAAGAGTGCCAATTAAAACAGGTTTGACAGGTGTCAAATATTTCAAAGAATCCACTATTTTACAAAATGTCTTCCCTATCTATCACAGAAAAGTCATCACAGAAACTTGTGGACAAAAGGGACATTTGCTTTATTCTAACTCACCATTCTTATATAAATCTAGTCAACTTTAAATACTTTCTAGATGTGGCTCAATAAAAAATTAAAAATACTTTCTAGAAGATATAAAATAAATGCCATTCATTAAAAAGTACATTCCTCTTTTTTGTCTTAATGTTCTAAGTTCTTTTTTTTTGAAACCTATAAACAAATATAGTTACTATGAATCCCAATAATAAATTTAATTAACTGGAATTTCCCCCCTTTCATTCTACTCTAATAGACTATAAAAGACAAGAAAGGTCACTAATAGAATCTTAACAGGTAATTTTCTGGGCCGCACAGTAAGATCAGTAGAGTCAAGTGAACCTCTGAAATTTAATAAGCTACTGCATAATACAAGACAGCAAGAGTCAAGACGAAGAAGTTAAGGTATATAAGATCCTGAATCACTTGAGATATAATTAAGTTCAAAATGTTATTATAATGATGTAGGGAAGAATACTTCTACAGTTTATCAACACTTACAAAATGGAACCAAAGGTGGTTGTTTGCCTCCAGTTAAACAGCAACAACAAAATGTACTTATTCTGAAGCATTCTGGTTAATCAGCCATTAAAGTAGCTTATGTTATAGTACCTTATAATTTTTGCTAAAATGATCTACCATTTTCTATATTCCATAATAGCAATAGGAGAAAAGTTACTTAGAAAAAGGGCACAATATTTTAATTGAGACAGAAAAAAAACCATCTTACTTTGGATTAGAATTCTATAAAAGTAGGGCAGTCACACCAAAAGTCATTGAGTTGTACTTTGATTTACATGGAAGTCTACGTTATGTGAATTTTATCTCAATAAAGATGTTTAGAAAAATTGTCATGCATTCTCATCACCACCACCATGAATCTCCAGAATTCTTTTCATTCTGGAAACTGAAATGTACTGATTAACTGTCCATTCCTTTCTTTCCCAGACTCTGACAACCATTAGCTACTAAATATGTAAGGTGAAATTCTTACCAGATTATGTATAACATTTGTTAAGGTCCAAGCAACAGGAACACTGAAGAAGGGTATACTTAGCAAGACAATATGAAGTAAGCCAACTCCCAAAGCATATGTCAGCCACATACCCCGACTGTTCATTACCCGGGTATTTGGATTCACTTCACTATGGGCAACTCCAACGTTCATGTTTGCTCTGTAGGAAGCAATGAAATGAATCAACACTGATGTGACAAGGAGTCCAAATACTCCTAATTCCATATAAAGCAAAGCTGACCTAGCCATTGGCCTCCCAGGAGGCAGATTCTTGCATCCTATTTAATGTTGCGTCCATAAAGAGAAATGTGAGTTCAAGTCCCAGCTTTTGGTATACTCTACCTAGAAGTATGTATTTTTCTTGGCATCATGGAGTGGACAGTTTACTTGGTCAAGGGATATGGTGCCTGTCCTGATCCTGTGATATAATTAGGTTTAAAACAATTTCTTTTTCTTTCTGCGGGGTGGGGGGGGGGGGGGGGGCGCCACACCTGACGGTGCTCAGGGCTTACTCGTGGCTCTCCACTCAGCGATCACTCCTGGCATGCTCAGGGGATAATATGGGATGCCAGAGGTGGAACCCAAGTTGGCCAGTGCAGAGCAAGAGCCTTACCCGCTGTACTATTGCTCTGGCCCCTAAAACGATGCCTTCTGAGAACTTAACTTCAATCTCTTTAAACACGGGTTTCTTCAGTTTTCTTTCTTTTGGGGGGGCAGGGGTTTGGGCCACACCAGTTATTAAGGGGACCATATGGGAAGCTGGGGATCGAGCTGGGGTGGGGCCCCGTGCAAGGCAGGCGCCCTCCTTGCTGCAGTCCTTGAGCCCCTCTCCAGTTTTCTTATGTCCTCCCCTTCCTGTTTCACATTCTAGGTGAAGATCAAAGGAAAAAAGTGTAACAGTCTCCAGTTAATTTAACTAGGATTTATACTTGGGTTAAGAATCCTGCTAAGAAAACTGTCTGGAAAAATACCATCCGGGTTAAAAAACCTGTGGGAAAGGGTAGGGAGTAGGGAATAGGGATAGATTATAACTGATGAAAGCAGCTGAGATTTAAAACACATTCTCTCTGTCTCTCCTCTCTGTCTCCGTCTCTCCTGTCTCTGTCTCTGGGCAATAGCACTAATGAAAGAGTTGGCATCTAGAGAAATTTCTTAGAACCCCCTCAGTTTTCTGGAAAACTTTCTTCTGCCCCTTAAAATAAAAAATCCCGTGGAACACGCGCCATGCACGACTCCGGGAGATGCGAGTGGATGACACAAGACGATGAGGCCAGCCCTCAGATTTGCGTGGGTAAACATTTCGGCCCGTAGCGCCGCCGTTTTACCGTCCCCGAAATTTCCATGCCAGAGCCCGCCACCCCGATTCGCGGCATTTTCCGATTTTCCAAAGCCCGGAGACTGGCGGGGGCGGGGGGTCGATGTCAGCGAACCCGGTTCGCCGTTCACACCCACCCGGACCCCGCCGCAGCCGAAAAGCTCCCGGAGCGCCTCGCCACGCCACGCCTCCTCGAGACGGCGAACAATGAGCCGGCCGGGCAGAGCCTGCAGGCTGCCGGCTCGGGAGCGCCGGGGATGTCCCCCCCACACCCCCACCGCTACCTGCCCGCCGGCCGGGCCGCGGGGGCTCCGGGGGCGGCGGGGGCGCGGCCCCGAACCCGCCCCTTCCTCGTCCGCGCCACACGTTCCCGTCGCGGCCCCCGGGGGGCGACTCGGGCGACACGGGGCTGAAGTGGGCGCCGTGGACGCGGGCCGGCAGGCAGCTCCCTCCCGCCCGAGGCCGGCGCGGACGGTGACGCGGCCGTCCGTGTCCACTCACCCGCCGTCCCACTCCAGGTGGCCAGCACCGAGCAGGGCCAGCTGAGCCGCGTCAGCGTCTCCTCCTCGAGGCCGAATGCCAGGGGGCGGGGAGAAGCCTCAGCGCGGCGGCGGCGGCAGCAGCGGCAGCGGCGGCGGCGGAAGCTTTCGGGACGTGTGTGTATGGGAGGAGTGCATAGAGGTGGGAAGAGGAGGGGGAGGAGACAAACGCGCCGCCCCGGGATTGGCTGCGAGCAGTGCCCGTCGCACGCCCCGCCCCCGGCAGGGCGTGACTAAGTGCCGCGCGCGGCGCCGGTCCCGCGTTAGCTCGAGGCTGAGTCGGGCTTTCCCGGGCTCCTACCTTGGCGACCGGATGGTCCACCGTGGATGGTAATTGTCAGCGAGCCAGAGGGTAGCGCCGTGGCGGCATTTATTCCTCTGTTTCCGGAGGCTTCACCTTATCCCCGGTGCTCCGACGCCGCCTCCCGCCCCGCCCCCGAAGCGGGTTTGCTGGGGCGGGAAGCGGACGAACCCGGCTTGCTGCGTGCACGCCGGGAAAGCGTTCTCCAAGCGGTTCTGGGCTGGTAGGCATCGGTGGGGTGGCCTTTCCTTCGTTAATCCTCTAAATTTAGGTCTTTGTTGCACCCTTTCCCCCACGTCCTCTTGTGTGCAGAAACTTGACCAGGTGCTCCCCTCCCCTCTACCCCCCCCCCTTCCGCAGCCGTGACTCAAAACTCGTCTTGTGCGTGCAGTGTTCCTGTAGGGGGTGCGAGCAAAACTCTTGTTTCTAACCGAAAAGGTCTTTTTCCGGTGGCGGGCAGAAAAACACGCCAAAGCCTGGCACCCGACTCACGTGCAGGGGAAACGTGGATGTCAGAATTTAATCTCTGGAGAGGAAGCGTCAGATTATGTGGAATCACCTTGCAATCTAATTTCATCACCTTAGCTGCACGCGCAGTTTGTGATTTGCATTGTTGAAATAACTCTCAACAACGTTTTGAAATTGACAGGGGAATATGGATTATAAGAGACCATGCCTGTTTGTTTAATTTCTGTTAGTTTTCTGAAATAAACATTTTGAGTAAGATTTGTTTTGTTCCTTAACTGAGGGATTTTTGTTTGTTTGTTTTTACTATAATGGGTCACAAGTGTAGTGGGTGAGTTCTCTGATATCAGTTTATTTCTGTTTCAGGTCCCTGGGCTGTTTTTCTTATCTTGTTTTCCTGATCATCACTGCTCCATAGGAGTGTTTGATTTTCTGCCCAGCTGATAGGGAAGTCTGATTGTTGACATCCTCACCTCTTCCAGGATTCAAGAGAAGACCATTTGGTATGCAAGATCTTGGAATGCATGTCAGCTTTCAGAGGTGATGCTGGAGATTTGTAAAGGTATAAAGTCCCTGCCCTCCAAGGACTCTGAGCCAGGTGCAATCTGCCAGGAGTTTAGGGTTAAGATGAGGAAAAAGTGGTAATCCCATGCAGAGGCAGGAATGCCTCCTCTGTTGTGAGCCAGGAGAGAACCCTCCTTGAGAAGGATGCTGCAGCTTCACCTGGAAGATGGTTAGGAGTCTTGGTAGAGAGAAATCCCACTAAGCCAGCTCCTTCAACCTTTTTAGAGTTGGGCATCTAAACAGGCTGTAGGCCAGTGGGTTTCTACCTTTCTACGTCCAGGGACTGGTGGTTGAACACTTATTTACAACACAGTAAAAGACTTGTGTATTGTGAACTGGCTAGAGTTCTTTAGGGGAGGAATAGTGGATGAGATGAAAAAGGTAGACAAAGGTTATTAAGAAATTTGGGCTTTCAGTTGAAAGTTAAAATTTTTAAGTAGGATCAGACTGGGACTGTGGTTCAGTAGGTTGAACATGTATAAGGCCTCATCTAAGCAAAACAAAACAGGATCGCAACATGATAAAAGTTAAATATGGCTTTCTGTGGGTGCTGGCGATCAAGGCAAAATAACAGTTTGATGATTATTGCAATGGTTCAGGGGAGAAATGTGAACGGGCCAAACAGATGCAGTAATATGACTATAGAGGGAAGAACTAGTTAGAGAAGTATTTACCTAGGTAGTGGGATAGATTGGACTGGGTAGAGGGATGTAGAAAGGGAAGAATTTACCAGGATGGCCACACGGTTAGAAATTTTGCCTCATAAAACTGGAGGAAATGCTCACGAGCATAGACTCGTTAAACAGACATGCCCAAGTATGTGTCTTGTTACTAAACCCTGAACAAATTGTCAAGCCTTTAAATCTCATTTATGATGGAAGAATGGATTGTATATACAAGGTTGCTGTGAGGAGCAGGGATGTTAATGTTTATACATTTGCTTATGTTCATTGTTCTTTTTATTATCAAGCAAATACAGGCTAGTGGCTGAAATGGCTAATTCCAGAAAGAAACTGAAATCAATTTTGGGCCTGCTAATTTTATCCAAGGCATTTCAATAGTGATAATAAGAAGCTGGTAGAAAATAAAGCCCTAGAACACATCAAAAAAGAAAACTTGGTTAACATACAGGGTCACGGGAGGTGTCTCAAAAGAGCTAGAGCACAGGGTGTTTGCCTTGGGTTCTGTCCCTGGCACTGCATGGTGCCCTGAGCACCACCTGTGTTGGCTTTCAAGCTGAGAGCCAAGAGCAGCCTCTGAGCAGCAGAGGTTGTGCCTCTTCCTTACCCCTCCATAATAGAAACCTAAAGAGATGCAGATGAGGTAAGGTTCATACAGAGGCAAGTTAAAGCTGGACTATATAAGGGATAGGTGTTAAAACAGTGATGATTTGGAAGGTAAACACCTTTCCTAAGTTTTAATTTAGGAGGAGGAAGATTCGTAAACATTATTTTTGGTATCTTCTGTATAATACTTACGGAGTGGATGCCAGTAGTGAAGTCCTTGGATTGTTAACTATTGCATCCAAAGATAATGTACAGTCCCCTACATTCAGAAGTAATTTAGGTCAGGCCAGAGGTGTGATAAGCATCCATTGAGCCATTGAGTAATGAGTGCAGGCCTTTAGGAATGTAGGGGGAGGGAACCCCATTCTGGTTGCATGACCTGGAGGGACCTTGCTGCAAATGGTATTGGAACTAGATATGAACAGATACATAGGACTGTATTAGTAGGATGTGGAGATGACAAAAGAAGACTGAGGTTTGGTTTTGGAGCCAAACCTGGTGTTGCTCAGGGTTTACTGTTGGCTCTGTGCTCAGGGATCTCTCCTGATGGTACTCAGGTGATCAAATGGGAAGCTGGCGACTGAACCCAGGTTAGCCTTTTGCAAGGTTAAGTGTCTTACACACAGTACTATCACTCTGGTCCCGAAGACTGAGGTATTTTGATCTGCTTTAAAAGCAGAGGAAGCTTTTAAGTAAAAGGCATAGGAGGAGAGCAGGAAGATTAGTTCTGTTCTACAAATATTTGTATGGACAGTAACAGTGACATTGATTGTTGGAAATCCCTGTCTTGGGAAGAGAGAGCACTGTTGGGGATATAAAGATACATGTTGTTCTATAACTGTCACTGTCCTCCCATTGTTCATCGATTTTCTCGAGCGGGCCAAGTAACGTCTCCATTGGAGACTTTGTTGTTACTGTGTCTGGCATATCGAATACGTCACGGGGAGCTTGCCAGGCCCTGCCGTGAGGGTGAGATACTCTCGGTAGCTTGCCGGACTCTCCGAGAAGGGCCGAGAAATCGAGCTCAGGTCAGCCATGTTGGCTGCGTGCAAGGCAAACGCCCTACCCGCTGTGCTATTTTTCAGATACCCTTTTAGGGAGTGAATGAAGAGAGCACCAAGGGATGTAGATGGGATTAGGGAAAATCATCAGTTTAATATTCTTTAGGGGTGTCAAGGAATATGAATCCTGGTTGAAGGTTTTGGTAAAAAGGGTAAAGGTAAAGGCCCTCCCGTTGATCGTCGATTTGCTCGAGCGGGCCCAGTAACGTCTCCATTGGAGACTTTGTTGTTACTGTGTCTGGCATATCGAATACTCTCGGTAGCTTTTTCTAGTGAATGTGAAGAAATAGATTTCTTGGTAGTGGTTGGGTAACAAGCCATATCCTCAAGTTTTTTAAATGACCTGGGATAGAGAGTTAGTTGGTGACACTGAATGTAGGCTACATAATCAACTTCACTTGTTTGGGAAAGATGCCTGGATACTGAAGCTGAGGCCAGCGCTACTGTATTGTCCAGAGGAGTTCTATCCCCTTTGACCTGTGACCAGCTGGGGAGATTGCCTTTGGGATCTTTGCCTTGGGACAGCAGTACTTTGTGTGACTGTTAGGGCAATGGCGTGGACTCTCCACCATCCTTATGACTTAGTGGAAGCCTTTGGGAACCACAGAAAACCACCCAGAGCTAGTTTCACGGCTCTCCTTAATATTTTGCATCCCCCAAATAAATCTGTAGATTAGTTAGGAAATAACTGATAGAAGTAAAACAGGGGTTAAAGTGCTTGCCTTGCATGGTGCTGATCCAGGATGGAATCCCAGCACCACATGGTTCCTGAACAACTCAGGTTACTTGGGAACACTGCTGGGTATGGCACAAACACCGCTCCCCTGTACTACCTTCCCCCCTCTCCACCACTCCCCTGCTGAAGAAGAATTTTCAGCATTTTGTTGCATAATCATCTCATTGTCGGCATCATCTTACATAGCTTAAATACCAGTGAGACTGTATCTCTATTCGTATATGCAACGAATTGACTTTACAGGAGTATTTAAGTGATTTACTTCATTTTATATGTAACAGATCAACCTCCATTGTCTTTTTGTGAGACTTCAATACGCCACGGGTAGCTTGCCAGGCTCAGCCGTGTGGATGGGATACTCTCGGTAGCTTGCCAGGCTCTCCAAGAGTGACGGAGGAATCAAACCCCAGTCGGTTACATGCAAGGCAAATGCCCTACCTGCTGTGCTATCACTCTAGCCCTGTCGCATGTTCGATATGCTAAAAACAGTAACTAGTCATGATAATGACATCATTTTGAAGAGTGTTTGTTTTTATTTTTGTGGGAATGGGCCACATCCAGTAGTGATACTGGCTCTGTTCTTTGGCGCCCCTCCTGACAGTGTTTAGGGCATTGGGTGGACCAGGGGTCAAACCTGGGCCTCCATGCAAAGCACATGGCAGATTATTTCTCTCACCCTTCAAAGAGTATTTTTAAAACATAATTTAATACCGTACATGCTTTTGATAGGCCTTGGCATATTATGAGGTTTTTTTTTTTTGGCCACACCCAATGTTGCTCAGGGGTTACCCCTGGCTCTGCACTCAGGAATTACTCCTGCTGGTTCTTGGGGGACCTTCTGGGATGCCAAGAATTAAACCCAGGTAGGCCGTGTGCGAGGCAAACGCCCTACCCACTGTGTTATCGCTCGGGTCCCTGTGAGACTTACTGAATGTGAGCTGCTGTAGGTTTCTGTTTCTTTTGGAATGTTGTTATATCAATATATTCACAGCGTGCATTTTTATTTTCTAGCTCAAAGCTAGAATGAAGCAGTTGCCCGCAGCAACAGTTCGCCTCCTTTCCAGTTCTCAGATAATCAGTTCAGTGGTCAGTGTAGTAAAAGAACTCATTGAAAACTCTTTGGATGCTGGTGCCACAAGCATAGAGGTTAAACTGGTAAGTATCTTTGAGAAATTAGGTAAACGTAAAGCAAACGGTCAGATATTTTTTTTCTTTAAAATTATCACCTTTCTCTTTCTGTACACTAGAAAGTTATTCTTCGGATACAGTAGTATTGAAGCACTGTTGTCCCATTGTTCATTGATTTGCTCTATGAGCGGGCTATCTCCTTGTCCTTTAGTTGATATGATTATGACAGATGTTAGAATTTATTATAATTTCACTTGCATATCTCACTCCCCTATTATAAAGTAATAGCTCATAAATGTTAGATCTCTCTAGTTTTTTATCATTTTATGACAGCATACCTGACCAGTACCGGTAAGTTTATTTGTTCCAGTGAGAGTAAGAATACATATTTTAGTAACTTCTGATTTTCAGATGTCTTTAGTTTTAGCATTAGAGCTTTAGGAACAATGTTGTGTGTTTTTGTGGGAATGACACTTACCATTTTCATATGTATTCCCAGTTGCTCTATAAGCATTGGAAGTAGAGTTTTTGACTCTAAACCCGCTCACAGTCTTGTGTTTATGCCCACTGTTCCTCAGACTTTCGGGTGCATCTGAACAATTTCAGTACAAAATATTTAACTGTTAAAATAGTTACTGGGCCCCAGAACTTGTTTTCTAGCAAGGTTCTAGTTGATGTTGAAACTACTGTTCTGTAGCATATCAGAGTTTTTAATGGTATTTTTCACGAGTGTGAAAAAAAATTATTTTCCTAAAGCATTTCATAGTTCAGTCTGTTCAGAATATAGCTGATATTATTTAGTGTCAGTTACATTAAGTAGTTGTCTTTGCCAGATTTCATTTAGGAGTCTTGAGCAGGTTGGCCTGGAATATAGCTCCATGGTAGACACCTTTGTGTAACCCCCTACATGAAGGGGGAAAAAAGTCTTAGAGGCAAATGTATATTTTATTCTGGAAAAATTTTGGAACAAAAATACAGAGATTCTTTTTCTTCTTTTTTTTCTTAAAAACAGGGGCCATTCCCAGTGGCAGTGGTGGTCGGGGGCGTGGGGGCGACCGCTCCTGCTTGGACCCTGGGAGTTAGTGCTCAGTCCAGGAGATGTGGAGCTGCTTGGGCCTGGTGGTATGTAAGGACCACCAAGGTCAGCCCAACAATTCATCTAGTAGTGCTCAGGGGACCCCGCACTGCCACGGATGGATCTCAGGCCCGTGTCCATGTTAGCACGTGCTCTGTCATGGGAGCTGTCTGTCCCAGACCCAGAAAAGTTTTATTTTTAAGATTTTTTGGTTTGGGGGACATACTTAGTCGTTCACAGGCAATTCCTGGTTCTGCTTTATGAACCCTATGTGGTGCCAAAGATTGAACCTGTGCCAACCATATGCAAGACAAATGCCTTGACCCCTGTACTATCAGCTCTGACAACAGAAAAATGGCTTTTTAAAAATAATTTACCAGGATGCTGGAGAGATAACTCAATGGGCTGGAAAGAATGCTTTCTTACAGGAGACCTCAGTTTGATCCCTGCTACTGCATAGTCCCCAGGTACCACTCGTTGCCATCCCCTGGCTTCAACCCAGGAGTGCCCCTGAGCATTGCTGGGTGTGGCCATAAGTGAAAAATATGAATGTAACAGGCCAGGGATATGAGGCTGGGTTTGATTGCTGGCACTGCAAAACAGACAAAAATAAATCAGGGCCAGCTGTTTGCAAGGTAACCACCTTACTCCTATAGTGTTGCTCTGCCCCCCCCCACCAGAAGTTCTCTGTAAAAAATAAAGTACACATACCTGTTTTGATAAGCATTTTAGTTTGTTGACATTTATCAGTCTCTGTTTTGTGGAACTCCGAAATAAACAGCCATATTGCTGTGTGTAATATTTAGACATGTTTTGTAACATACTTGATAATTGTCTTGGCCAGGAACAGTTTTATAAGTAGGCGTGGTTAGATTATTTCAAACATATGAAGAGATCTTTGTGTTATCTTACACAGATGCCAAGAGTTCTTATTTATATTGAAAATTTGCATTTCTGTTGTCAGTGATTTTTGTATAAAATTGAACGGACCTGCGCCTTGAGAAGATGGTACAGGAGTTAAGGCACTGTCTTGCACACAGCTAAACCACTTCTTTCTCCAGCATCACATATGGTCCCCCCAGCACTGCCAGGTCGTAGATAAGCACAGAGCTCTTCAGCAATGCTGACTGTGGTCCTCAACACCCCAGAAAAGGAAAATTAAAAATAAAATACAATAAGGAGGTCTGGTGTTAGTGCTGGTGTTAAGGCTGGTGGGACAGCACAGACTGGAGTTAATGACTTGTATGCCCCTGACCCCATATGATTCCCTGAGCACTGCCAGTTGTGATCTACCCCCTCCCCCACCTCCACCCCCTGCCCCAGCAAGTTGAGAGTTGTCCTGAGCACTGCTGGGTGTGGCCCTCAAACAAAATAAAGCAAAAGTAACAACTCCCAGGAATTTTAGATTGACCTGAGAAACTAAATCGTAGATTTCTGCTCCGGAATACCTGGTATATCTTACTTAAAAAGTTTTGACATGGTGAAATACAAAGGTATTTTGTATTTTTGAAGTACCTTTGTATTTTATTGTGATTCAGTATTTTATTGAATCATAGTGAAATACATAGTTACAGAATTGTTCATGAGTGGGTTTTAGTCAGATAATCCAGCACCCGTCACTTCACCAGTGTACTGCCCACTTCTAATATCCCCAGTTTCCTTCCCACTCCCCCACTGCTGCCTCTATGGTGGGCAGTTTCTCTGTGTCTCTGTCTCTCTCTTCCCCTCCCTCCTTCCCTGTCTCCCTTCCTTCCTCCTTCCCTCCCTCCTTCCATCCCTCCCTCCCTCTCTTTCCTTTTCAATTCTAATTGCCCTTCACTCCCCACACACTTGAGGCAAACGTTTCCAACCATAGACCAGTCCTCCTGGCTCCTGTTTTCCCTGCCATTGGATATTAGTCTTATACTGTGTTTTTTGTTTTTTGTTTTTCATATCCCACAGGTGAATGCAGTTGAGCTGTCCCTCTCTGATTCATTTCACTCAGCATGATACTCTGCATATCCATCCATTTATAAGCAAATTCCATTACTTCATTTTTCTTAACAGCTGAATAGTATTTCATTGTGTAGATGTACCATATTTCTTTAACTAATTGTTTGTTCTTGGCCACTCAGGTTATTTCCAGATTCTGGTTATTGTGAATAGTGCTGCAATGAACACAGATGGTGTTTCTGCAATATGTTTTTGAGCCCCCAGGGAATATTCCCAGAAATGGTATTGCTAGTAATACCCAAAAGTGGTATTGCTAGTAAGTGATACTGAATATTCCCAGAATTCAAATGGGAGCTCAATTTCTAATATTTTTTTTGAGGAACGTTCATATTGTTTTCCAGAAGGACTGGGCCAGTTGGCATTCCCACCAGCAATGTTGGAGAGTCCCTTTCTCCCCATATCTGCACCAGGTTATTAAACTGATGTGATTTTTTTTTTTTAATTTGGTGCCATACCCAGTGGTGCCCAGTGAATCAGAGGCCACACCCTGCAATGCTCACAACTTGGCTGTGTGGATGTGCGGGTTTAGTGCTCAGGCTTGGTGGGGCTGGGGGCCATGCTGAACTAGGGAGGGCCTGTGCTCTACCATTTACGTTCTCACCCCACCCCTGTGCTATATTTTAAATGTCAGTATTGTAATTGTAGAGATTGACTTTTCCCGTAATAACTTGTATCCGTAGGCAAACACATAAAACTCAAACATAAAACTCAAAAGATGTAAAAATTCAGATTATGAGCTGCAAAATTCAGAGTAAGAGCTTCATCAAAGATGGAATCACTATAGAAATTTAGATTTTGTTTTTGTTATGTATGCATGTTTTTATTGTTCATTTACAAATATTAAGGACTATGCCTTGAGTTCTTTTTTTCTCTTTTTTTAAATTAAAAACTCATCGAGATTGCCATATTGGATACATTTTCTTTGCATTTTCATGTCAGGTAACTATTTGCAGAAAGAAATTTGCAAAAATACAATATTCCAAGTTCTTTCTGCAGTTCTGATTGTTTAATCCAGGACCATACACATATAAGGCACGTACTCTGACTGAGCTGTATTGCCTTATTCCTTAATGAAAGTTGTATATTTAAGGAAAGATGAGTAAGGAGAGGCTGTTAAAATCTCAGGACTGGGACAAATGGAGATGTTACTGGCGTCCCCCTCGAGTAAATGATGAACAATGGGATGACAGTGATATAGTTTGTATTTAAGGAAAACCATGAAAAATCAGGTTGAGATGACCGGAAAGGTAGTACAGAGGCTAAGATGCTTACTTTGCACATAGCTAATCCCCTTTCAATTCCTGGTACCACATGGTACTGCCAGGAGTGATTTCTGAGCACAGAATCAGTAGTAAACCCTGAGCGCTGGTATCTCAGGTGGCCCAAACCTAAATAGACATGTCAGGTTAAATAATGATAATTGGGGTGTAGAATCAGTTGTTGTTTTTGTTATTTTGTTATTTTGTTTGGAAGACTACATATAGTCAGGTTGAAAGAAAAATTTAAACAAATAACAGTAATGCTGAAACAATTCAAGAAGACCTTAGAACAGAATGACTTCCTTATTTTGCAATTGCATCCAGGTCCAGAGAAAAGGAGGGACTTGCCATTAGGCCATAACTAGGAATTTAAACTCCCATTCCTTAACATGAAGCCTTCATAAAAGAGAAATTAATGATAAAATTGTTTCATTTATGTTTCTAAGTGTGATAACAATTTAATGTCTTAATATACTGGAAGTAGCATTTTTTCCCCCCACAGGAGAACTATGGATTTGATAAAATTGAAGTGCGAGATAATGGTGAGGGGATTAAGGCGGTTGATGCACCTGTGATGGCAGTGAAGTACTACACCTCAAAAATAAATAGTCATGAAGATCTTGAAAAATTGACAACTTACGGTTTTCGTGGAGAAGCTTTGGGGTCAATTTGCTGTGTGGCTGAGGTAAGGTCATTTATTTTGCTTATTCAGTGATTTCATAATCATAGTGTAAAGGGAAAACTATCACTTGATCACTTGACATCCTGTTAACTCATTGATTTGCTTGAGTGGGTGCCAGTAATGTCTCCATTTGTCCCTGTCGCGTGCTAGTGTAGCCCAGTGGTGTCTGCTCGTTCTAGGAACACGAAGAGCCTCATACCAATCGTTCAGGGTCTTGATGAAGAAGTCTGACCATCTCTTAGGTGGGCGGCTATGTGGTCTTTTGACGTCCTGTGGAATCCAGTTGGTAACATCTCTAGTCCAGCGGTCGTCTCCAAATCTCATTATTGTCCACCCCATCTGATTTTCGACATCATGGCAAACGAGATTCCTGATTCTTGTCTGTCAGTGGAGGTTGGAACTCCGGATTCTTTCTCTCATTTGTGTGAAGCGTGATACTCTAAGCATAGCTCTTTTGATTCCTCTTTGGGAGACCCGAATAGCGTTCTTATCCTGTTTTTGTAGGGTTCAGGTCTCTGAGGTGTATGTTAATGCAGGAAGAACTAAGGGAAAACTAAGTGTGGATTTTTTTTGTTTGTTTTGTTTGTTTTGGGAGCCACACCTGGCAATTCTCAGAGCTTACTCCTGGCTCTGAGCTCAGGGATTACCACTCATGGGTTTAGAGGGACCATATTTGGTCCCAGGATCATACCCGGGTTGTCTATGTGAAAGATAGGTTTCTTGCCTGCTGTACCCTCTCTCAGCTCCAGAGTGTGGATTTTTTGATTGTGGTAAAATACATGTAAAACTTAACTGCATTTTATCTAGCTATTTTGAAGTCCTAGATTCAGTCTCATTAGTGTGCAGCCATCACTGTAATTCATATCAGAGCTTCCTCATTTGGCGAGTGTGTTACCCGGGTACTGGTGCCTACACACACAGCTCCCCTCTTGAGATGCATACTTTCATCCTTCAGTGCTGGCGTATGTACTGGGGTTGTCTCCACTTTTGAGAAGTCCGCGTTCTCTCGTGAACACATCTTACCTTCTCTCCTTACCTCTGTTTCTCAGTAAACTTGTTACACTTTAAAAAAAAAAAAAAAGAACTTCCTGGTACTAATCTCAGCCATTCTTGGGTGTTAGTCTCCTATTTTGTTACTTTATGTCCCCCAGATGAATGCAATCTTTCTGTGTCTATCCCTTTCTTTCTGACTCATTTCGCTTAGCATGATACTTTCCATGTTGTACCACTTGTATGTAAATTTCATGACTTTGTCTTTTCTAACAGCTACATGGCTTGGAGGCCAACCACACATACTAGGGGAAAAGCAAGCTCAGATAGAGAAGGGAACACCAAATAAAGGGTGTTGGGAGGATCCTCCCAGGATGGGAGAAGCATGCTGAAAGTAGACTATAGACCAAACATGATTGTCATCCATTGCCTCTTTTGCAAATCACAACACCCAATAAGAGAGAGAGAACAAAAGGGAATGCCCTGCCACAGAGGGATGGGGGGGAGGGATGGGTATTTGATCATTGTATAATTGAAACCCAAGCACAAAAATTTGTAAGTCTACAACTGTACCTCATGGTGTCTCACTAATCACAGTCCTCCCGTTGTTCATCGATTTGCTCGAGCGGGCCCAGTAACATCTCCATCATGAGACTTGTTGTTACTGTGTTTGGCATATTGAGTATGTCACGGGTAGCTTGCCAGGCTCTGCTGTGCGGGCGAGATGCTCTTGGTAGCTTGCCGGGCTCTCCGAGAGGGGCGGAGGAATTGAACTCGAGTTGACCATGTTGACTGCATGCAAGGCAAATGCCTTTCCGCTGTGCTATTGCTCCAGCCCGTCTCACTAATAAAAATTAAAAAAAAAAAAAAGAACTTTCTCATTGAAAACTGAAGTCTGTACCTTTTAACTGTTCCCCTTCTCCTTGTCTCCTCTTGCCCCAATCCCCAATCCTTTATTTCTGCTAACACGAGTCCACTTTCTATCTTTATGAATGTGAGCTCTTCTAAGTGTGTCATGTAAAAAGAATCATTCAACTTTGTTAATTGTGATTAAGATTATATTCACTTAACATGTCCTCAAGGTCTTACATATTATAATGTGTTAGAATTTCATCCCTCTTGGGGCTGGAACAATAGTGTAGTGGGTAGTGCATTTGCCTTGCACGCTGCTGATCTGATTTCGATTCCCAGCATCCCATGTAGTCCCCTGAGCACCGCCAGGAGTAATTCCTGAGTGCAAAGCCAGGAGTAACCCCTGTGCATCGCCCGGTGTGACCCCCCCCAAAAAAAAAATTTCATCCCTCTTAATGCTGAACAATATTCCATTATCTTACTAGCCATGGTTTGTCTTAAATTCTTCTGTTGGTGGACATTTGGGGTTGTTTCTGCTTTTTGGCTGTTGTGACTAATGCTACTAGGAATATGAATGTGCAAGTTTAGTGTTGGAAGTCCTCCTCTCAAGGTAGGTGTAAACCCAGCAATAGAATTGCTGGGTCAGTTGGTAACTGCTTAATTGTTTGAGGAACTGTGAACTGTGTTTTGCAGTATAATATTAAGAGGTATATTGATAGGAAAAGGTCTTTTAGTGACCCATTGGCATAAATAAAAGTTATTTAAAAAATTAGACAAATATCTTAACCATAAGCACCTTTATTCTCCTAATATGCATTGAGAATTTTTTCCCTAAACTTGGCTTGACTATGAAATCCTATTATTAAGTCACTTAAAACTGTTTTGTTGTTGCTACTATTCTCATTCTGTGAAATTTACTCTGGAAATACCACTTTAAGTTACACAGGTAATTCGATTGTGTTCTATAGATGTGAATAAAGCTTGCCTAAATAAATCCTAGTTAAAGGCAGATTGGATTCTAGAACTTTGCTCTCCATACTGCTGGTTGGAGCTTTTGCTGACTTTCAAGCCCTGAGTTCTGTGCCTGTGAAGTGAGTCAGTTTACACCTTACCAAATTGCAGTTAATTACTTCTGTCCTGGATTGGCTATTTAGTTGGTGACAAAGATCTTCCGGAACCTTCATCGCTTTGTTCCTTGTATCTCAGTTCTGCTGGACCCCATGCCCCTCTACTGACTTTTTTTGTGGTGTACTATTAGTTTCTGCATATCAGGCTCTGTTTTAGAGTGATAGTATTTGAGCATCAGAATGACATGGCATTTGTAAGGGTCTCTAATTGCTTGCAATTTAGACTGGCACACACTATTCAGGTGAGAATCCTGAGCTACAGGATAATAAATAGGTCTTTGTACTGTTGGTCCCGGACAGTGGCATGGACATGAGATATTATTGATATTATATGCCAAATATTAGTAACAATGATGGGTCTCATTCTCCCAATGCTGAAAGAGCCTTGAATATGGCATTTTTTAAAATCTCAGGGCTAGGATGAAGGGGACGTTACTGGTGCCTGCTCGAGGCAATCTATGAACAACAGGATGATCGTGATCGTGATTGTGACTGTTGGTCCCAGATAGTGGCATGGACATGAGATGTTATTGCTCTGTCCTTACCTGTTTGGTCTGTTTGCTCACTTGGTCTTCCTGTCAGCATTGTCTTCTTCAGACATACTGTGACTTGACTTTGTTCTGCCCTGAAAATGTTGGTATAGTACACGTTTTCTCCATTTCCCCTCCGTCCCCGGGTAGAGTTTCGGCAAAGTAACCACTTACTCATTGACTTCAAGGCTCTATACCATGGTGCTCAGAAAAAAAATTTGTAGTGGGGAAAGGAGGTAGAGTTTAAAGTAGGAAAATTTACTGTTCTGACACTAAGGAATAAGGCCCCTATGTGTGAGAATCTGGATGTTCACTTATTACTAACGGAAGAAAGACTTGTCAATCCTTCATTACACTGTGCTTAAGACCTCTGTCCCAAATCTAGTATATTCTATATTTGTATTTGTCCACTCCTGTTTTGGAGATTCTCCATCTAAATTTTAGAGGATTCTACCGGGCATTGGCCACCTTCCTCTGTAGAGACAGTCTGGGAATCTACAGCCTTCGAATTTTATAGAAAGAATCTATTAAAGAAAAGGGATTTGGGCTGAGGAGATAACTCAGTGCTAGGGTTTATGCTGAGTATGTGTGAGGCCATCATTTCAGTCTTTTGGGACTCATATAATGCTGTCCCATCCTCCACAGCACCATCTGCTGTGGCCCTGGTGGTCCCCGCATGCTGAACTCCGTTGCTTGGCCTTATTCCTACACACATTGCTGGAAATAGCCACTATTTTTCAAAAATCAATCTATACAACTGGTACTGTTGTATAAGTTTGCCAACTATTTTAGAAAGAAATTTGTTTTCAGAAATTAACAGATGAGATGTTTTTGTGGGGTAAGTGTTTGAGCCCACCTGGCACTGCTGGGGGAGGGGGCTCCTCCTAGCTCTATGTCTGGAGCTTGATTCTGGTGATGCCATATGGTATACAGGATTGGACCATAGCTGACTGTATGAAAAGCAAGTGCCTTAACTTCTGTACTCTCTTTCTGGGCCTACATTATTATTATTATTATTATTATTTTAATTTATTTTAATGTAGGAGTATTGCTGTTTATTCAACTATTGATTAGGCTGATTGAATTGGGCATAAACTCCACCTTTTTTATTTCTTTTTTATAAATTTATTTATTGAATCACCGTGAGAGCAGTTACAAAGCTTTTGGGTTTAAGTCTCGGTCATACAATGATGAAATACCCGTCCCTTCACCAATTGGGCCTACATTTATTTTTTTGAGGGGCAATGCACATCTAGTGATGCTTATGGCTTAATTCTGGCTCTGTGCTCAGGGATCACACCTTAGCATTGCTCAGGGGTCATATGGGTGCAGGGGATCAAGCCTCGGCCAGCCTCTTTAAAGGCATGCACCCTACCTGCTGTAATAATAGGTAAGTGCTCTACCTACTGTACTCTCTCCAGCTCCTGGCTATACATACTTGATTTTTTTTAGCAGTTGCCCAGACTTGGAAGTAAGCGTTAACTTTGTTTTTATGGTATTACTA